TTCGATTACCCCATCGATAGAGCTTGGAAGCACGCTCTGCACTCGAACGACTCACGCACTAATACGCGAAGCGACACAGTAGGTGAGATCTCCACAAAAGGGGAGGGATGGTCCCCAGTCCCCGATCAAACCTCGATATCTTTCTACTCTGCTAGAGTAGTAGCCGGTTCAGAAGATCAGTGCGAGCGGTATGACCGATCGATCGGCTTACCGGGTAGGTACAGTCGGTATGTCCGGGAATCATGTTCGCTCGATGCTGGACTCGCGGTATCATGCGGTATGAGCCGCAAGGCCACAATGATAAGAAATTTCGGCCAGTTCTCAGATTCTCGAGTTTTCCCACTTTCCGTTCTGTTCCGACCATTCCGGTGGCGATTCCGATATGAGGCTTGGTAATTTGCAGAATGCTCATCTAGAATGGCCGGTGACCCTGGGCCTTCAGTGCATCCTCGACGCGATTTTCATTGTATAGTTTCTTCGTCTTCTGATATCTGGGAAGCCTCTGAAAGAAACCGAATCCCATATCAGAAGCTACCCGAAAGAGGGGTGCGATCCGTACTAAAATTCAGAAGGGCGTCGGAGCGCTCTCCATAACACCACCTCTACCACCATCTCCGATTCTAGCGTACCGTAACGATATCCACTCCAAATAACACCCTCTTCCCCGCTTTTTGCGGAGAATTTAGCGCGCTGTGAATCATCGAACCTGATCCACACCGCTTAAGACAAGTCTCTTCGAACCTACGAAGGAACGTCGACTCATTGCGATTCGGGCAATGCAGTTTTGATTTTGGCCCTTTGCGATTCAAAGAAATCGATGACATTCGCTGTGAGACAAAAGAACTCCCTCGAGACAGGCGATGAAATCTCACGGGAAGCAATGGGTACTATAGCTCCTCGAGGACGCAACGTACGGGGAGTGATAGAGCCCAATCCTTTTCGATCTCTCCCGGCTCTATGCAAAAGTTTCTGTACTCCTGTCCTGTGGCCTGTCGTCGTTCGGCGAAAGTCACGTATGCCCGGATTTTTTTGTTCGAATCGTCCAAAATATTTTCATTCAAAACTCGCTGAGGCGGTCATTGAGTCATTATCTGATCAATTGATTGGTAAGGGCTTCCGATTGCGGCGCTTACAGGTTCCAGCCATCCGACGCCTTCCAATCGCGACGGTTACGAACCTCCCACAGTGGCGATGGTTACAAGCCTCCAGAATGCCGAGATTCGAAGACTCGCAATTAAACGATTTTTTTGACAGGGAGCAGTTACAGAACTCTCTCCTCCAGCTACTTCTGTTCCGGGGACGTTCTTTCGCCGATCCCGGTGTCTCCTAATGGAATCATTCACCGAAGAACCTATCGCTAAGCGTACCCGCTCAGGTATGAGACCGTATCCGATATCGCTTTTGTCACCGGACGCTTTGCGTCAGCGACGGCATAGAGCTATGCGATCCGCAGAGGACCGCGACCGTGCTCGCCAAGCCAATCGTATCCAACATTCCCGGGCTAGACACCAAGCTCCGACCATTACTACTGGACCGGCCGCATGAAGTCGATGCGCTACTTTCCATCTGGACCGATGAAAAAAAAACTGCGTGTCATGCAGCGCCGCTGCCTTCAAGGCTGAAGTGAACGACGCTGGTTTCCATGGTAAGTTTCTCGCTGAGATTTTGCGTGCGGAATATTTTCAAACGTGAACTTCTCTGCGCTTTGATTCAGCTACGGGTACATCGGGGTTGCAGAACTCTCGGTCGGGCGGCGGAGTTCCATCGACAGCAGGCGGATTGACTCGGCTGTTGTGACATTGGTGACATTCAGCGCGCGGCGGCTCCGATCTGCGACTATGAATATATGCTCGCAGCAACAGCTCATCATCGAGAAACGCCTAAGGCAGCTCGAGGGATCGATTGGCTTGCTGACGCTTGAGAACTTGAAGACTTCCAAAGAACGAGTTCGAAACCTGCTCGCTGAATTCAATCGAATCCATTCGCCTTTGCTCCCTCTTCTTAGTTGCAAGGTTAGCGCCTTCATTCATAGAACTTCGCTGGTCACCATCACCACCGGAATCGACGCATTCTCGGCTCGCTGAGGATCCACGTTTGTTCGGGTGCTCCTTCTACATATCAGGCATGGCCTCGAAAGGCTCGAAGCTGATCGCTTCGTGTCAACGCACCAGACAGGAAAAGCTGAACCCCACAGAGACCCCGGGACTCTCTCGGAAAGCTTGAGCTTCGAGGATCGTCGAGACACAATCTCGGTCCTAGCGAATCTCGTTTGCTTCAAGCAAACTGTTTTGTCCTGTCGCGCCTACGTGGTAATTTTCGCGACGATTCTTACTACAATAATACCACATAATGGCGAAGTTCGATCGGTATGAATATGCAATCGATACGAAGCCTCAGGAGGAATATCCGCTTCAGCCTACTCCGATGCGGTATTCTGTGGAAAGTTCGATCGATGGTCTGGTATCGATTGAGAAGTGACCAGATCCCGCGCCATCCAGGTAAGAGCTGGTCCCGATGCGCTCCCCCTCCCTACCCGCCGCTGCCATTTGTTATATTCATGTACGAGGAAGCTCAATGCTCACACGGCAACAGTCCTCAGCGCTGCTTTTGATTCCGCCCCCATGAACGAGAGGAGACGATCTCGATCATTAATTCTGGAGGGCTCATTGCGGCAGAGCACTTCCTTGATCAGAGCTTTCGGAGACCCTGAAGGCAATGGCATCGCTGTCACCGCAAGCTCTGTGGTCCCGGGAAAGTCTATGTCGCGAGGTGATAAGGCAATCATTAAGATCCTCCCATCATCGCCCCATTCGCTCCATGCTTACCGTGCTTACTCGGCCCTTCTGGTTAAGAGGGGAAACTTTTTGAACAGCGAACTCGAGGGATGTTGGAGCATGCCCAGAATGGAAAAGTTCTGTGTCCCTCATGCGCGCAGTCCGCCTAATCGTCCTAGGAGTGATCCCGATGATGTTCGCTCGCTTGATATATATCTCGAGAAGTGTATGCACTAGCTGGGGTGCGGCTTCATCTTCTAAAAGTTTTCAGGAAGCGCTCGCTCTTCATTTTGCGAAACGGAACTCGGATGCGGAGTAGAATCTTCCTTGCTGGATCGTGTCCGAGAGCAACGTGTGAGGCTCGGAAAATTAGCCACGAAGAAATTTTCTAGAATGATCAGTACATGGGATTCCCCGTCGAGCCCCACAGCGAGAAATACATGGATGGGTATCATGGGTCTGAATCAAGGGCTCATGGAGGCCCATATGTATAGAGGATAGAGGTGGGCGTTCGTCACGGTACTTTTGTCAACACGTTTTTTTGTTGCTGTCGAATTGCAGCGTACTGATCCGTTTCGTGTCCAAATGGGTGGGAATGATTTCGTATCCCGAAGGATCCGGATCTCTCCGTTCGAGCACGTTTCTCTCAGAGCCCGAGAAGATGAGCTTGATGATCTCTCAGTTTCGCGGCCCCGTGAGCTAAAGTGATGCTGGATCAGGCCTTGCTTCCAAATCGTTGAAGGCTTACTCGAATAATTAGTCGAATAATGTGGAATGCACGATGTTTGGCATGCCTCGAGAACCGAGGACCCGCGTACCGGGGGCCTCTCCTCTCTCACCCCTTGTTCCGGGAAAACTCTACTGTTGAGAGCTCGTATCTGAGTTCCTCGATATCTTTCAGGGTTTGAGAGGATATCTCGTCAATATCCGAAAAAGTCAGGATGGGTAGTCGCCCTCGCCCCGAAATACGGCATTCACTCCTGATCTGAAACTCGAATCGATTAGAGGTTCCGATCCAGCCACCAGATACCATTCTGGAGTCTCCCTAGAAAACTAGGCGTGACCGCTGGAAAATACCCGCTGAAACGAATTTCCGCACATATAGCATTCCGTCCGGAGTTCGAATGCGGTCGTAGGAGCGCCCTTCGCTGCTTAACTTGGTGACAACTTGAGGGCGTCTGCGGGAACTCTTCTGCATTTGACGTCTGGCAGATGATCGCGAGTCTCCGAGTTGGAGCCCCGTTGAGTGAAACTTGCAACTCCAGTCGAATCTGGACTTCCACCGAGAAATGGAATTTCCGTGGGTTTCGGAAGGGGATTCTCGCTTCCTGGAGTCTGAATTCAGCTACGATGGGTTACATTAGGTTCTCTGAGAAAAGATCCGATGAGCCATCAGGAGGTCGAACATCTGTGAGAGACCCAGCGAGCGAAGGATCTCAAACCTTTCGGAGCGGCTCGTTGTCCCAATCAGGCTCAAGAGCTTAAGTGCTCTGAGCTAACTCTTGAAGCGCACGGAATCAGTGTTCGCTGATCCCTCTTCCCCTCTCACTGACTAACGCAGTACGTCTGTGCAGGTGATGCTAGCTCCCGATAAGGACAGAGAATGCGCGTAGCCTGTCCGGAACCGCTTGACGGCCATATGAGTCGACCGAGACTGGAGAGTTGCACCGATTCCCCATCCTGATCCTACCCCCCCCCCCTCGAGTTTCTAACGGCGCGGCGGCGAGTCTGTCACGGCTTTTGTCGTTCTATGCTAAGCCCCTATATCGATTTTAATAATGCGATGCAGCGGTCGGCTCTTCACTTAATGTGGAGAATGGATAGATGAACCGACGTATCGAAGAAGCTCCCGAAACGCCTGTTCCCCTTCGTTCCATCCAGCATTCGGGCGGAAAACTCCGCGTGGACACGAACTTTCGGAATATGACCGAAATCGGGGTTGCGCCTCGGAACGACCCCATCACGTCAAGGAAGGAAGCGTCAAATCGACACTCATGGGGGAGAGTCGTGGAGAGACCCATGAACGCCCTCACCCTTGGAGGATGGAGCCAGAAAACTAAACTTCGATATTTCCCACAGTGTTGAGCTCGTTGGGATTTTCTGAGTGTCTCGCCTTGAGATATTCCCCGTTGTGGGCTTGCTCATGCGCCCTTTCGATTGACGGGATCGCTCTTCCCGACGCGTCGGGAGGTTCTGCGGAGGGTAGTGAGCTCCGCTCTGATCCCAATGGAATCGGCCGAAAAAGATCGGGGCGAGTTCAGCGCCATCAGTTTGAACGATACCGCGGTGTCAGTGACGACTGTCGAGGATATATTCCGCTATGACATTTCTGTGACCGCTTTGCTGATTATTGCTTACGCCGTGATTTTCGTCATGGGTCTCATCGGGAACGCGTTTGTGCTCGGAGTCGTGTTTCGGACGCCCCGGATGAAAACCACCACTAACTATCTGCTGGTGAACTTGGCCGTGGCCGATATTCTCGTGCTCCTCGTCTGTGTCCCGGCCAATCTCGTAGGGAATATTTTGCTCCGTAAGTCAACCTTGAGTCGCATTTCGCGTGACTGCAACCTCACGTGCACGGAGTTCGAGTCGGAGAATTTTCTGGCGTACTTCCGGACTTCTCCGACAGCCTCCCGGATATTATGTAATATTAGACCCAAAGGAGCCGTAGATGGGGACTTCGGATCACTTCAGAACGCCGTGATCGAAGCTCCCCTTAGGTGAACGTATATCTCTGACCACAATCCGGCTACGGGCTTCATACCTCGGAGGAGCAGTGCGAAATTTCCGCTGGCTGTCACCTAACGACCCGAATAGGGGAAGAATCCACCGACCGACGGAGAAAATTGACGTTTGATGTTCATATACAGAAGTAGCCGTCAGCGGTCAGTCGCAGTCTTTTCCGGCTGGACGGGATTGATGATCCTGCACATCGAGCTTCAGGCCGAGATAAATATTTGTCGAGGCCGGCAGCGGTCCGGCTCCGAGTTCCGCAGTTCCATTAGGGATCGAGAGCGCAGGACACGCAATGCATTAGGTGAATGCGAGGACTTATTACCCGAAGCGAGGACTCGAACTTGCGGAAGTTTCTTCTCGCCTTATCACCGGAATAGCGCAATTAAGAGCGTGAACGTCTGACAGCTCCTTCTCATCGGGACGAGCAAGTGCATTCCGCATCAGCCTTGTTAGTCGCACGGTAAAGCAGCGCCTGTTGCCGCGCTTCAATAAATCCCTCGTAATAATCAAAAAGCCTCAGCCGACCTCCAGGGTCGGAGTGTGTGAAATTCCGGGCTTGCGGGGAGTCTCTCGCACCTCGATTCTTGTCAATAGCCGAGCCGAGGCATGTTCACGCGCCGATGACATTGAAGTGTTCACTGTATTTGTGCTCCCATGATTTCGATTCTGCTCGGACTTTAATTTCGGCGGAGAAGGAGACAGAATGATTCCCCATAATCTCTGCCACATCGTAAATTCTCTCGGCTCGTGAGAACGCAGTACACGGCGACGCTGCGGACGATGAAGGGAAGCATGCGTGCAAGACTCACATCCGAATCGGGAAAGTCAGCACAAGCGAGCAGTTCTGCCGCTGTCGCGAGATTGATTCCCGTCGAAGCGATCACCTAAGCATGATACAAAGGACCATGAAGAGATGAGTCCCCTCTACTACATATCGACGAATTGGCGGGAGTAGACTGCCTACGTCCCCGGTACAGACAGGAAAATCAGGTACCACGTACGACATCATAAAATTCCTGTGCTGCGGGAAAGAACCCGAATAAGGAGGCGGCAAGAAAACTTGGACTAGGGACAAGTGCAAAATGGAGCAGGAAGACATCGGTCACCGGAACGTCCGCGAACTCGATCTGGGTATTCCTTCCGAGAGTTGAAAGGGGTTAACCCTCGTCACCTGGCGCTATATTCAAGGTCAAACCAGCAAGATTAAGTCGGCTTTCCCATCATCAGGCAGAGGAGACCAGAGAGCGCCACCGCACAAGGATCGGGGGCGGAATCCGAGTCGAACATGAAGAGGACCGTTTGCGCTTTCTCTATTTTCTATTTCTGGAGACATGGGCTCTCGTTTCGAAAGTCAAGCCGAGAGCTTAACGAGGACTCCCGATCTTGAGCCAATCAAGGAAAGCGCGTTCCTTCATCAGATCAGCTTCCGTGCAATCAATTTACGTTCAACTTTTGATCGACTCGAGATCCTCAGACTGAGAATTTGACTATGCTTCCAACTGGGATCTCTTGCGCAGCTTCTGCTAATTAGCAGGAAAAAGTTTCTTCGGAAACCCCCTCGGTGCGAACTGCTAGACAGACGCACCAGGAATCACCGTGAGGCCTCCGTCCATTTGTCCATTAGTAGTTGCGAAAATAATTCGACCGAACATGCGCAGAATGTGGAGGAAGAAAACCTCTGAGAATCCTGCATAGAAGGAGGTCTTAGGAAGAATCCGGCGAGAGATCGATGTGCCTTCCAAGGAAAGCGGGGCTCGAAGGTTCCTGTCACCTTGGGGAAATACCTCTCGCCCGACTTCATATTCTGCGTTGAGCCTTTCGGGCCTCCGTATAGGCGACCGTCGGCGTCGTATGTACCACTGCACGCTCCTGATGTGTAATAAGGAGCTCGAGATTCCAACGGCGGAAAAAGCTCGACATTCTTTCTCCGGTGACGTGATGAGCACCGCTGAAGGTTGCTCTTCTGTCCCTCGAGCCAAAATGCTGATACGCGGCGTTCTGACGCAACATGTATCTGGGGACCGTTCATTGACAGATCCCTTCTATTCGGTCCTGCGAGCCGCGACTGTTTGTTAGCGGAACTCGTCACCGTCAAGGACGGCCCACCGTTGCTCCAACCGTTTTGAACTCGATGAAGAAAAAATCTCCCTAAGCGACTCGCGCCCCGCTGTCGCGAGTCGCTTCATCAGATGACACCCGAGAAAGGTCCCTGGTCGCGGATGTTCTGAAGTGCCTGAGACAGGCTCGACTGCCCGCCTTGAAAATGATAGCCGATCGGCTGTATTTGTGCTGAGGCGACAAGGAGCGCTCGACCGCGACCTCTACTCACTCCAAGAGTTGAAGGAATCCGTAACGCGAAGAGCTATTGAGAATTCTGATGAGATGATCCCGAAAATTACCCGAGAGCGTAACGAGCCGGGCGGCAGCATCACACAGTCCCTCGACGCCGCGAGGACACACCAGCGTCGAATGAACCGCGAGAGACCTAAAAGAGCCCCCGCGGCACGCGGGAGATGAATGAGTGCGGCACGGTTTGCCCCTACTGACGGGAGATGGCTGCTCTCATGCCCCCGCGGGTTGGTCGAAGGCTTCGACTAATACTAAATCGAAATTGAAGATCTAGCGATCGGGAGATGGAGCCGATTAGATTTTGAAGTCGAGAGCTATTCGAAATCGCATTTGCGGGTATGAGCAGCCCATGTCGATTAGATTATGATGATGATGATGATCGGTCTGGGGCTCGCCAGGTCTCCGAAGCAGCCGAGATCCGTCATTGTAAGACCAGGTTCTCGGAGGGGCATTCATGCGTGCGTGAAGAATCATGTCGGAGGAATGAATTCGAGACGAAGGTTCGAAATTACATGGAATCTTATTCCGTCTCGGAGTTCCGCAATCGGGATCTGCCTCAAATAATCTGCGCATGCCCACGTTCAGGAGAAGAATGCTGTCGGCAGTTGCGACATGATTAATTATTCTCGTCCGGAGAACCTTTCTCTCCAAGGTCAGACTCAGGAATGTCGGAGGGAAACGGAATTGTTTGGTTGATCCCGGCCGTACCTGCGAGACGAACGTTCGGGTTCATCCCCTCTAGAGGCGGGTCTCTAAATACGGAGTATTAGGAATTCGGAAGTAATTGTTGACAGTATGTATCCGGGCTCCCGACTCTGGACGGAACGCGACGACACGGAATTCCCTATCTCCTAGCGGCAGAGTCCCTCTCCGATATCCATTCGAGCGAATGGTTCCGCGAGTTGGTCTATCGGACACGGGTTCTGGATGACTAGAAACTCGCTGCTGTGTTCGGATCGGTTAACGAATCGATAAGAATAGCGAGACGAGTGGTATGCTCAGGCTGCATACGCTCCGTACCTAAGGTTTTCCAGAGTCGATATCAATCGCGCGTATACTTTGCCGGCCGCAGTTCGGACTTTTGGTAATTTTCCATGGGCTTCTCTTGCTGCGCGGAAGGATAGATCCGCAACCCGAAAATCGCTCGGGAGGTCTCTAAGATAACGCCGGAGGTCAGACGGACTCGGCAATTTTCTCTTTACCGAGCCTACTTGACGACTGACAGGATTTCAATGAGATTTTAAACGGAACCGCATGCTCGAATTCAGCCACATATCTGAATTGCCGCCAGTTCGTCGGATCCTCCGTTTCGAGAGATTTCATCTTGCTCGTCTACTTTTCGCTCCGTGATATCTGCTCGAGGTGCCTCAGTGTCTGCGTTCACTGACTTTCGCCAGGGACGAAGAGTCTCGTTCCGCTGATTTACTGGCAGCTCATAAATGTCCCCTTTCTCTTCGATTTCATCTGAGAGTGGCACGGTGTGTGAGCGTCACTCGTCTCGGCCGCCGTAATCACTGCTATGAGTTGTGCCGTGGATGACTACTACACTACTTGAACCTTGCGATCGATCCTTGAAGTTGAGAGGACTTGTCTCAGCGAGTCAGCTCAGAACTTTTACTTCGCACCGACGTATGCAGACGACAAGTCCTGCTCTTGTCACCCGCTGTTTAATTGAGCGTATCGAGGCGGTACTCGCAGAGAAATTCTCTCCGGGCTCGATTCTCGATCTGGAACCTCTCGTTTTCCGCTTCTCTACGGCGTGGCATTTCCGATTTGAGTCCCCTCCAATTCAACCAGGTCTTTGATCCCGATCTTATCTGCCGGGTGCGTCGATGAAGCTCTTCCAAATTTAATGATTATCACACCTTTCTCTCGCTACGATGCGTTGCGCCAGTCCACTGGAACGGCTCGATCCTCCCTCTTTGGTCTGCACTAGCATTCATCCCTGTGGGTTGCGTAATCTTGGTCAGCGGGACGTTGTAAGATCTCTGGACGTAATGCGTTCCTCTTCGAGGTCCTGCGGAACAAATGTGGAACCAAGATTCGGACAATTGAGGCCTTAGCGTCGCACGAACATCGAGGCTGCGGGAATGCGCTATCAAAAATCGCCTTCCTTCGGTATCAGCTTTTTGCAGAATGAGGACCATGGATTCTGGGCGGCCATCGTCGATGACACTGAACATGGGCTTTCGGAGAATTCGAGCCGAGATTCTCCCCAATCGTCTGGAGATAACTTGCCCAACGTCTTGCGGCAATGCTATCCCGAGCGAGGGGAGTCGTTCCGAGAAGTGGGGTCAGAAGAGTAAACAGAGGGCCGGAACAATCCAGGCGGAAGCGGTATGAGCTGGGTCCGTAACGACGAGGACGGATTGTTGCGAATGTCGCTTCTCTACTCTGATACATTTTTGTCCGATCGATCACGACAAGGCGAAAACCTTGCGGTCCGCCGACCGCTCCACTAACTTTACTAACAAGGTTGTCTCCCGCTCAGTGAGCGGTAATTTAATGAGGCTGATCCTTCAAGAGCGTATGGAACTTTTTTGCAAAGCGCTCACGGAGATTTGTCGGATTCCTGGCACCGTGGAATCCAGCCCCGTCCTCCTACAGGCAGTGCTCCGCCTCTTCTTTCTTACGGAATTCTGCTTGAAAATCTCCCGTCAATAGTCGTCGCCATCGGATCTATTTGGCATCTGCACGATGCAACACTCTCCATTGTGTTGTTCCATGAGCAAATAAAAGGGCCTGCGATCGTTAAGACGAGCTCTATCCGAGTGCATTTGTGTATTTTGACGTTGAGTTATTTGCTTTCGGATGTTCCTCCTCTCGCGAATGTTTACGCCGATCGAGAGACGGCTCCACTCGGAGACGATGTATCTTCTTCGCAATCCCGAGGTCGATCCCGTATCGGTATCTGGAAGACTTCAAAAATCGTGACTAAATTGGATCGGGGATCTCTACTCCCGGTCGAAGACTTGGACCCCGGAATACACAGATTTTCTGGCTCATCGACACTGAGAATCCTCTACTCTCGATGGTCAATCCGGACGATGCCTTCCGTCACGGTCCCACAGAGACACATCGAACTGAGGAAGCACTTCGACGTGTCACTGTGAGTCATGACGCCTGTGAGCGTGGTCGATCTCGTGAGACGTCTGAAGGAGCATTTGAATCCAACAGAGAAGGACAGTCGTATGGTGGCATCGGACTCTGAAGTGGGAGAAAACGTCTGCTCTAGATCGAGTCTGCGGTGGGATGCGGACAATGGCGAAGTTTGCTCTGACAATTGCTCCCAGAGATGATGGAGAGCGGACCAGACACCAAACGGATCAGCCGCCCTCGGGTACGACGATTCTAGGCATTCCTCTCCCTGCTTTTTACGTCAGTGTAGGATGTCCTCTCCCTACTTTTCACGTCACTGTGGGATGTCCTCTCCCTTCCTGGTTTTTAACCGGAGATGATGACGGGCCACAGGGCCATCACCGCCCCATCATTGAGTCCGGGAACTTCCATCCTCATAGGCTCTAATGAGGAGACTGTCTTCCGCTCCCGAAGAAGAAACGTCCGCAACCGCTGTCGGCTGAGCGAGGGACGGATGTGTGTCAAAACTTCGGAATACACAATTATCTTCAAAGAGAACAGTTCCTCTCTTGGTAATCGACAAAGACGTTGGCGAGTACCCCGCCTCGAGCATCACTGAAACAATTATTCCTTTTGGATGTAGGTTCTTCGGGCTCCATCAAGGCTTCGGGCTTGTAGGTACTCCGTGCGAAGCGGTTGTTGGAGATCCAATCAAACATGAAGGAAGCTACTTCGGGAGGATGATGAGACCCCCGTTCAAGGATGGCAGGTTTTCCCGAGGAACCGAGCGTAGTATTGAGGACGGTCGATTCCCCGGCCGTGTCGACATTGCGTTCTTTCTCACGCGTAATTCAAACCCTGAGGAGTAATCAGCTAGTGACGATTGCATCTGACGCTCGTCGGAGAGCTCCCTGAAAAAATATGTACTCATTCTTGATACGAATGATTTCAGCTTGGATTCTCGGGAGAGTGCTCTGTAAACTCGTCGCCTACCTTCAGAGCGTGACAGTGTGTGCCTCGATAAACACTCTAGTGGCGATTTCCGTAGACAGGTAGGTCTCTTCCTCTAGAACTGCATACCGAGAACATTGCTTCCTCTGAGCGACACGATTCATTCTTTAGTCAATGACAAGTATAATATCAGTCAAAACGTCTAGATCCGACTCTTTCCGACCGGAAAGATGATCTCGTGGAAGATGAATCGCAAAGGTCGACCATGTCAGCAGGAGCTTAGCTTCCTTGTTTTCCAACGTCGACTACTCGGGCTGCACGGAAGATCAACGAGTATTCATCTCGAGTCCCTCCCGCGCCATTCACGGAGATTCGTTCTGTTCTTCCCACAGGTACCTGGCCATCTGCTATGATCCCCTTCGTTGTCCACTAAGCCCGCATCTTATGAGACACATTATGGTGATTTGGTCACTCGCTTTGTGCGTCATGAGTCCTACACTCATCTATCAAGACATCCATTTTCATAGCGATCATGACGTCGCCATGTGTATAGCTGTATTCCCCAGGTGAGCCATACGCGAAGTCTGAGAACGTATCCAGGCGGACGCTTCCTCGCCCGGTTTCCTTCGCATTCGTCCGATGTAGATAGATCTCGCCGCGCTTCAATCGGCGCTGAATGGGCGCTTATGTCGTATACACACTTTCATTCCGTGCCGTAGCCGCTTGAACACCTTGTCGCATAAATGGGGGGGCGGAGTCGGAGGAATGTCTTTTCGGTGTATGAGCATGTAACCGATGATTCGAGAATCCATGACCGCTTGCGTGGATCTGCGTGGATTTTCACATCGAGTGGGAAGGGGGGAATTATGATCCTACGAGTCGGCTTCTTCAGCTTCGGCTATTTCATTGTTATCTTATTCGCGAGATCTCTATCCCCGAATGCGTCCTGAATGGATGGCAGCGATGGACGAAAATTATTTTAGCGGAAAGCGCTGTACAAACACAGGCCCGATCCTCTAGCGTATTTTTGTAGGAATATCCAGCACTCGAAGGCAGTAAGTTTCTTTTGTATCAGTTTGCGACTTTGTTTTCTTCTCGCCACTCCAAGACGAGCCTCATATCTAAAGCTCGAAATTCAGCCCTGAGTATTCGTCCGAAACTTCTCGCGAAGGACCCCTCAGTCACTCGTAAGGACGACATCGATCAAATTCGGAGTCGCGAGTCGCCTCTACATGTATTCATGGAATCGAATACCTCCACGCATCGAGGGTCATTTATACCGGAAATTACTTATTTTTCATCTCATTTTGGTTTCTTCCCCGAATGGTGGAATCCGGATTGAGGAATCCGAAATCGAGTCTTCTGCAACTCCGAAGCGACGAAGCCCGCCTACTTACAATCGAATATTTTTCCGTGGGGGCAAGCGAGTCAAATCTGTTCCTCCGCTGCCCCGCCGGCCGCCGGGGGCCGATGCCCCGGTCTACCGGACGGAGCTGATGAATATCGCATCAAGCGTCCACCTAGGGCCTCTCCCTCGAACCTGAATTTGGCGTGATGTTGCTGATCAAATTCCTCCGAATCAAGGTGGTTTCATTTTCGATCTCCCCGAGGTCTCGGGGAGATAGCTTCAACTTCTGAAGTCTCGGCCCTACGAGAGAATGAGATGAATCTATCTATCTATCTCAGCCCAAATCGTACCAGGGACGCCCTTCATTTCGCTTGCGAAGCACTCGACGCGATCGCCAATTTCAGTCGGGTGATCCGATCCGGGGCTCGAACAACAATGAGCTTCGAGATGCTCTTGTTTTTCGATCCCTCTCCAGTTTCCGACTCTGGAGTCTTGAGGGCTAAACATGAGAGTCCTGCACCTTGCAGCGTACCCGGCTCAGACTCTCTCGGCCGGGTCCTCGGAACTCGACTCGTAACTTGCTCCAGGTGTTCGGATATTGGAATTTCGCTGCAAATACTCACATCATATCTCTCTGTTCCCGATTTCGAGTACAATGTCGTTTTGCTGCGCTTGTTAGCGCTCTATAGCAGGTTTGTTTAACAACTTGTTTCGCTCGGAAAGCGATTCGCTCAGCTCTCGAGACTAATTATGATTTTCCGCATACATCTGTTTCAAGTACATGCCCATCATCCGATGGTTTGGCCTTCGATGATTCAAAAAGCATGGGATCAGGATTAAAGAGCCCGATGTGCTTCCAGCAAGAGGAATCAAGGGATATCTATCATCACGGGATACCTGGACAAGTGATTCGCCGGGGGAGGGGTTACGATTTCGACAGACATCGAAACATTCCCTGGGGAGTGAATTGAGAGATAAATCGAACATTGAATTCTGGAAGGATATTTTTTCTCGCCGAGCTCCGGGGATCATTATATGGGCGTCCACGGCTCGGTTATGTCTTTGATAGAGACGTCAACATCTGGTGCCGTTTCCGGATGGAGCCTTCTGATGACTTGAATTTCCGAGTTCGTGCTCCCTCTCGAGACCTGAGCAGACTCCGTAAGATGAAAACCGGACAGCCGATGATCTCGGGAGGAGTCACGTTCAGTAGAAGATAAGAATCATCCTCCGCTGATTGGGGCGTAGAATAAATTCTTCGGGAGATTATCTTAGAACAATGACATGGGGGTTCATCGGCAGATCTTCATAGACGCTCGCTCGGCAAGGAGAAGCTTATGCCCTCAACGTGGCAGATGCTTGCGGCAGTACGCAATCGAGGCAGGAAAATTACCCTTTGTAGTCGGGGGTCCGGAGTAACTTGGAGCCCGTCCTAGTGTCCCGAAGGCATCCAGGATCTAGGCGCTCGGGAGGGAACATGGATCTGAGACAACATAACAGTCTTGCATCGATGAGGTTCCGTGGTGGAATCCGCGGACAATCATCTCAGGTCGCAGAGCGCCGTGTTTCGCTGTGTGAGCTCGCTCGCACTATGGCAGAGGCCGTAGGCTAGCAAGCTGTCCATCCACTGGCACGGATTTCGGAAACCCCAAGACAGAGTCCCCCAAACTTCTTCCGGCGCGGAGCCCCTGAGGCTTCGCGGAACCCCTGATACATTATACATACGATCCCGAACGCTCCCCGTTTCGCAGGCTGCATCAGGCATACGAGGGCTCACGTAAGCTTCGCCCAATAGAGCTTGGATTTATATTTCGAGTAGCGTGAATCAAATCGAACAAGGCCCACTCATGACGAGAATCGAGGCATAATTCTGCGGGGTCGCGGAAAGCATGAGGAAGATATCGTGGCGTCTCTTTAAGTGTCCAACAGAAAAGTCGGGATCCCCCCCACTTTGCGAAACACTGCCCTGAGACATGGTAACAAAACTCATCGCTCGCTTTCCATTGCAGTGAATTGGCGGAACAAGCCTTCTTCATAAGCGTGGTGCTATCTTGTTACGCGATTCCCCTATTGCTCATTGTATTGTCGTATATGTGCATTTTCAACACGGTGTGGAGGAGGTCAGCCATCGGGGAACCGGTCAAACGTCATAACGCAGCAGGCAGACGCGTAAGCTGGAGCACATACTCCGGAATCTAAAATCTTTTCTCATGAGGCTCGAGTCTGCCAAGGAATCCTCAGCTCTCTTCGAGACATCTCACCCCGGAACTCAGAGTCGAAGCGCTTTTTTCCGATGTTCCGTCTAATAAATACTCCACAATGAATATTAGAATGTTCTCTGAGAATGAGAGCAATTATCTTTCTGCGAACAAACTCCTTGCCTCAACTCTCGCGGACTGTAGGTTCTGCTGTTTTGCAGGTTGACAATCAACGTGCCTTGATACAGAGGTCGAAGATCAAAGTTGTCAGGATGATCTGTTTCGTGGTCGTGGTTTTTTTCGTCTCCTGGGCCCCTCTGTATCTGCTGCATGGTTACATCACGCTGGTCGGATACCCACACAAGGTGCGTTTTTCTGGATTATCATGATCCTTTACCAGATCTTCGGAGCCTTTCCCGAGTGAGCGGTCTGCATTGATTGAGCGGTCTGCATCAGTCCGACTCGTCTCTAGTTTCATGATATTTGATTGGGTCTGTAGTATCCCGATAGTGTCTGTCCAATATTATTTCTACTCGCCCGATGCGACGACTGCGTCGAAGTCCACATCGGCAAGAAGAACTCCCGGACAGCGACACTGACCGGTCCCTATCTTGAAACGACATGTGTCAGTAAATTGAAGCTACCTAGTTGCGTTGCGACTCCTTCACGATCAAAGGGAGTTATGAGAGCGAGGAGCCTGCTCCTTCAATTGGTGTCCCTGAGATGACGATTCCTATCTCGGCCGCATTCGCTATTCCAAATGAAAATGATCGCTCTTTCACGATCGTCGGAGCGGCGGAGACTCAACCGAAGCCGTCTCAATCACAAACTACGTTTTGAAAAAAATACAGAGCGACGTGTTATGTAGTCATCTCCGCTTCAGCTTTAAGAGTTATCTACAGAATGGATCCGTGAATCACTCTATTTTTCGACATAGGACAGCGCCCTGGGAGGATTGGTTTTCATGCTTTATCCTGTCGCTCAATGGCTCGGACTGGCGAATAGCGCCGTCAATCCGATGGTTTACGCATATTTCAACAAAAAATTCCGACATGGTGAGGAATGAGTTGAGACTGAGGCATACATATGCGTATCCCAAAGCCGCTAGCGCAACGAAATTGTATGATCATGACTCGCTGGAAATATAGCCCGCTCTACGCTAGAGAGAAATGAACGAGATCGCGGAGCTAGGGATCAACGCTGATCTCAGTGCGCATTCGTTCTTGCAGGTTTCGTCGCCATACTCAAGAGTCGGAAATGTTGTGGACGTTTACGGGACGACATCGTGCTCGCATCTCGCTCAAGATCCAGCTCTTATCCTCTCTCCACATATTTGACCAGGAAGTGTACCGTGGATACGAACGAACATACGCAGAGGAACAATATCGCGACAGACTGTCTATGAATCATCATATTACTTCAAGATGCGCTCCCACACGGACGGGATCATCGACTCAGCCGGAGATTCCTTCTCCAAAGCTGTCGGAATCCCCGACGGGAACTTCCCGGACGAGGAGTATCGCAGACTTGCGACAAAATGATGGACAAGCTTAAGGCGCGTCCGAGTATGTGATTTTCCACCGAGTTCCCGTCCTATGCGCGGGAAAATCACTTTTCTGAGGGGAAACCGAGCCCGCTCTCGGACATCTTATGACGAGTGTGTACATACGGTGAGACGTGTAATTCGAGACATTCTCGTGTTGAATACAGATACGGACTATGTTTATTTCTTGGACATCAACTTTTTCTGCAATGGATTCCAGCTGAGAAAAATATGCTACATCAAGAATGAGTCGCAAAATCCCGAATTCTCGAGGACTTCCCAACCTGGATAATAGCTGCTGAGCAGGTCCCGCTGGGAGATTCCCTGGGCTATAGCTGAGGTTCTCGAGATCGTGGGCGGCTGAAATTCGGATGGCGCCCAGGAGAATTCAGTATCAAGGCCCCTTATACGAGAAGTTCATCTTGTGAGAATCGTAAAGCACGCGGGAAAGGTTTCGGACTGGGAATTAGTAACGCCTGAGCAGGTGTCCGCTGAATGGCAACAGCCGCTCCCTCCCAAAGCGGAAATCCTCATCCCGCGTCGCAAGGGCCGCGCTTGGACAGCTTGCATTCGAAGGTTGAGGCAAAAACCGCAGCTGGAGCATTCAATTTCGTCGTTCGATCCATGGTTTGCTTTCCAGCGCCGGAATGTCAAGATTCCCGGAAGAAGAGGGTATATCGGACCCCCGAGAAGATATCATCAGGACCCCATACTTAAGTCGTCGTCTGATCGTTGGATCGAACAGAAAGTTCTGGGTACATCGTTCGAATGAGTTGACGAGAGTTTCTTCAATGGCGGAGAGAGGTCTAGGCTTCCTGGCACGTCTCCAAGGGGCTCCAGTCGGCTATGGGAGAATCATCGACACACGCGGAGTGTTCCTGGTCGAAAACTTTGACTAAGTAAGATCCGTTTCCGATACGAGTCCTCATCAGATAAATGAGCAATAGTACACATTCCTTCTCCTCGAGAGGGGTGAGATTATACGGGAGAGAGAAGTTTCGCCCGATCAATGGAAACTCCGCTCCGATCGTATATACATACCTCGTGAGCTCTGTGGCGAGAAACGACACCTTGGCGAAATCGGTGAAATCGAGGGGAAGTTTCCTCCTTTGCTACACGAAGCTTTGGGGCCTGGGAGTCCCGTCGGGATTCGAGGAGTCGTCCAGATCGGATGCTCGGCTTTGCGCATCCCTCGACCCCGAAACTCCATGATTAATCGATTTTCACGCGTTTTAGGAGCGAACCATTTCAGAGAAACGCAGCACTCGCCTTACGCTTCACCCTTGGGTCGCTTGCTTGTCTCGCACCTGATTACGATTTCCATGTCGGAAGGCTCCCAACGAAGACTCGGCTGAACCTACAGAGCATAGCACCGACTCGTGTGAGCGCAGAGGGCATCCGCGAGCCTCAACTCACGCTTCACTGCCTCAGGACATGGACACCCTCAAGGAAATGACGGGATGATCATTAGCAAGTCATGAGAGAGTGGTAATTCATGGAGATGAACAGATTCTTCATAAAGAAGGATGTCCCGGTCAGAAATATTCCGTTTCGTCGGGTTTCTTGAATAGGAATATTGTTTTGGCGGAGAGCATCGACTGCCTCCCACCGCCGCTGCCTGCATGCATGTGAACAATGACAAAACATGTATTGTTGCTATTTCCTCTCGGGCAATCTGTTTCGTGATTCCTGAAATCCGCCTGTTCCGGGAGCGACGTGAGTCGAGCCACGGACGTCCTCTCCTGGATGAATCCCCGAACTCGTCATACTTCGTGCCACCACGATGCGGGTTGCTAAGGTCACGTTGAGGATCCGAAACTGGCCGCCGTCGGAGGTTAGGGGTCTCAATCCCTCCCGAGGCTCAACCTTTTCCGGGTGGGACCGGCTCACATTCGCGTGATAATTCTTTCGGCAAACATTCAGGGATATCCTTCGATGAACAGATTAGCTTCCTTCCTGCGAATGTACCCAGGTATTTCGCTCCCTGGTACAAAATTGCTTTGCGTACCGGCCGCCTGATCTCCGGATGGACCATTAATCTCTCTTCGCCTCCGGTACGTCTGCTCTCGGCCATGCCGGCCAGGCTTCCAATATTCTACAGGAATCGCCCAGATCGGTGCTCAATCGGATCGATGCCGGGTCATACGCTGCCGCTTACCGAGATAGACCTCACCAATGCTATTCGGAGTTGTTCTAACGAAGCAGCTCACCTGGACGTGGATCGTACAATGAAAACTAAATAGGGAATATTCGTGATCGAAATGAGGTTGATGGAGCCCCGCGGCTCCCGAAGTGATTCGTATGCGCCATTTGATCCGGAACAGGGCAGCTGTCAGGCACAGACGAATACCCCTAGCCCTGGAGCCCATTCATGATGGCAATCATCGCCGAAAAGGATATTCCATAGGTCCGGGAATCGGATGCGGGCCAAGACGGCCTAGTAGGCTTAAAATCATTCGACACACTCTCGATCCGATGCGCCCTCGAGATTCCGAGAGCTTGCTAGCGGAGTATCGGTTCTGGAATCTGCGAGGAACAAGCCCGGACCTTGAGTGAGGCTCATTTACGAATGTTCTATGAGTTGAATCGGATTCTCAAACGACTCCGAAGTGAGCAGATTTTCCGAGAGTCATTGAGAGTTTCGACATCAATTATTTTTGAAGTTTAACAGATACTAAGCTCGCGAGATTTCGATCCAGCTCGACAGTCTTTTTTTTCGCTAGGATTCGTTCCGGAAGCATCGTGACGATCTCCTCTCTCGTCTCAATCAGTTCAAGAAGTCGACCTCGAGTTTAGCCAAGGGTCTCGTGGCAAAACGACGGCATCGTGTATTTATGAATGATTATCTTTATTTCTGTCATTCTGAATATATAGTATGTATATATGTATATTTTTCCGCTCCTTGGATAGGAAGTGGACCGTTTGAATGATCGATCATCATATGCCATCGTTGAGTGCGTCATCCATTCCCTATCCCGCCTGGAGAAGAAGTCACTTACATGTGTTTTTGTTGCAACAACCGAATATGATCACCGGTCCGATTATATCTAACAAGACAGTGCCGTCGTTCCAAAATATTATTTTTGTATTCTGCAAGTGCGATGAGCGATTGGTTTTTCGACGTGACCAATTATGGAGTCTTTTTCATTGGATCGCCGTCCGAGTCACAATCGGATCGGGTGAATCCATACAGAGAGAGAGTTCGTTGTTCCGTCAGAAAATGCTCTTTTCGATGTCACTTTTTCTCCAAATGCCTCTGACGACAGATTGAAACTGTATCGAAGACTCGGGAGATGCGAAAGCCTCGGAGCGCCTGGTTTGACCCCCTGCATTTGCTCTGGCATCCGAGTAATCTCGAGGGGCCTCCGGCCGCATTGAATCAATCCACAGATGAGGGGAAACCGAATTCCCTCTGTGATCCTCCAAGGGCGGCAAGAACAATTCAGATCACCGACAGCACTTGCAGCACGGCCCAAGTCTGTTCGGAATCGGCGGATTTTGTCTGAACTTTCGCTCGTTCTGGAGGGAAAACGTCTCCCGACAATCCGCTCGACGCTCTGTCGCGGACCCGGTGCGCCCGTTCCCAGGTGTCTGAATAGAGCAATCCGAGTATTCCCCCAGAACTTGGGCCGTCTTCGTATGACTCGAAATCGAATCGAGAACGATGATGTACGAGAATGCCGATTATATAGCAATACTGGTTAGTCAGTTCACAAGGCACCCATTCCGCGTAAGAACTGTTTGCAAGATAGGTTTCGAATATAATCGCTGATGATGGCGAAGTCCGATTGTTTTTTCATTCGGACAGGATCGAATGAATTCAGGATATTCGATCGTCAGGGAACAATTTTCCAGAAAATCCCTGCCGGCTTTAAACCGGGTTACTTACGGAAACTACTATATTCATTTCGAAATGAAACAGGTGCTTACGACGAAACAGTATCTCGATACAAGGATCATCAGATTAATAAGTGGGCGTTGCTGTCCCTGACAACAGCCTTTCGAGCGCAGTCCGAAGTTTTTTCACTCCCCGCGCAACTTCATATCTAGACAATCGCCACGAATCGAGCTTCTGCTTGCCATAATCGGACGAGGGTATTTCGACTCCTCTCGTCTCGGGGATCCTCAATGGGTGAAATCGGCGATCGCAGCGGGAGATCGGAGCCGCCTCGGGAAAACTGCAGCCTGTCAACCGTCGAATAGGTACGCGAGAAAAGGTAGGTAGATTGACTCCGGCGTTGTCGCTAAAGTAGTCTGATTTTTTCTTGGCAGAAGGAACGAAACTTGTCATCCGTTTCCTTTAGTCAGGGGTTTTGAAAGGAATTTGGACTTCTTCTAATTCGTTGAATGCATAGAAAGTGAATGCTGACCAAATAGACGGTCGTATAAGTTCATCATTTACACAAGGGTGCCGCTGTCAAGTGACGTAGGTGTGTAGACTCTACCTTTCCTTCGATTCCGCCGCTTCAACAAACTCGCAATCGACGGATTGGAGCACGGGAATCGTCACCCATCCGAGGGAGCGCTTCCCCATTCAAATATTCATCTCTCGTCGATAACTTCGACAGGGAGCGTTTCAAATATTTTGAATATCAACCGAGCTCGCTCGAGAAACAGTTTCCCTACTCCATTTCCCTTAGTCACTGACCTAATAGAGCTTCCGGTCTTCGTGTTTCGGGCTATGGCTCGACCGAAGAGCCTCGTCGAAGCGTCCACGGTGGGCCATGAGGTGATGTCACAAGCACACCCCTTGAATCAGCTTGCAGTGGTGTACGCACGCGCCGCGCGGTATACACACTTTCACGCATCGATTGAACAATGTAACTGTGTTCGTAAGTTTTTCTTCTTCGATATCTAACGCGGTCCACAAAATGTTCAACGACCAAAAAGTTCCGAAGGTGTTGGAATGCGTGTTGAGTTTCATCACGCTCAGAACGACAGGACCTGTCCACGTAGCGCTAGCACCTTGGATTCCTCCTCAATTTCGACTCTGATGATCAGCAGCAGCGATGGGCTGCGTGACCGCAGCACCGAAACCGATCTCAAATTGTCGGCGAGCTCCGCATTCCAGTGCGAGCGCTTCGTCTCGCAAATCCCAGCAGCGGTTTCCAGAACACATTTTGCGGAATGCGTGTTGAGTTTAAAGGGGAGACATTGGGGGAATGCGTGTTGAGTACAACAGATCACGCCTTGGTTCCACCGATTCAAACAAGGTAGGAACACAGCGGGCTCTCGGGGTGGAGTCACTTTCCGGGTGGAATGCATGTTGAGCTTCGCATATGCGTTGATTTTCCGACCCTACAGGGGTCGGAGCACATGGCGACAATCCAACCGCTCGAGAGGCTTGACGATTTCGTTTTTCATTACGCTGGGAGGGAGGTCGGGAACGAAAACGCTTCTACCTACAATAGCGAGTGCCCTCGGAGCTGGTTAGCACTCATGGTGGTGGTGGTAACGGCTTCAGACTTTTTCTGGGCGCAGAAGCAGTTGAACCGACGTCACGGGATTGTCCATCGTGACGCTCTCTTCCGACGTCGGGGTTCCCTCCTGGGCCTTGCGAGGAACGACTTGGGGCGTCACTCCTTTCTTGATTCGCTGGAATTCCGGGGGAAAATATTATTCTCCCAATAATGACGGGGGATGTAGGAGGGGACAAGAGATCATTCGGGTCCTAAATATCATGCGTCATCTCAGTATCGATCCAAATTCAAGTTCGCATCCAATAATTGCTCCCTCGGAGGAATTTAAGGGCAGTCAATCGATTTACCTCGAGGAACGTTCCCGGGGTACTGCACAGGAAGAACAGGGCGTACAGAGGGATCCAGATGATGGAGGCCATCGCCATGCACCACCCGATCGCCTCTCCCCACCAGGGATAAACGTAGGTGTTCGAGTAGGTGAGAGGCTCGTGTTCGAGCAGGTAGAAGAGCAGCATTCCCAGAATGACGACCGGAGCAGCGAAGAGCCAACAGAAAACAAAGTATCGGTTTGGTCTGAAGCCGATCATGTCCTCAATGTTTTCGTAAATTCTGTTGGCACCTGGAATCGTGATTCGGAGAGGCAGACATGTGCTTGGCTAGTGTGGAAGGTGGGAACGATAAAAGCTCGGGAAAAGCATCTCGGCCCAAGGCTGAGAATTTTTCGCCACCTCACCGGGGTCAGAGCTCACCATAAATATAGGAGAATCCAAGGATCTCAAAAAGGACGACTGTGCATAGAGAAACCCCGGAAGCAGAGAAGAAGTCCATCAGTTGGAAGATATACATTCCTCCCTGGGTTACGATCGGCAGACCGAGACAGAATTGCAGACAAACGATGCCCAGCGTGAAGAGCCGACGATGGGGTCGGAGTTGAACAGCGAATTCGTCCACGAGTCCGGTGACCAGTGCCTCCACGGTGCAGAATTGAGAATCGATCCCGAGAACGATGAGCATCAGGAAAAAGAGAATAGCCCAGGCAGAAGCCCAAGGAAGCTGTACCACCACCTCTGGGTACGCTAAGAAAGCCAAACCCGGTCCAGATTTCGCGACTTCTGCGACAGCTTTGCCCTGAACGTGGGCCATGTGTCCGAGTACCGAGAAGATCACAAAACCGGCGAACAGCGAAGTGCCGGAGCAGATGGCACAAACGATCAGGGAATCTTTGTAGAAGTTATGATTGTACTTGTTGTAGCTGCCGAGAGCCACGTTGGCACCGATACCTGATAACACAGAGACATACGTGTTATTTGGCTTTGCGGCTGGAGCACTACCGATCCCATCGATCGACAACGTATGTGGCTCCGAGAAAGAAATTCCTCCGCTTCGAGTCGAATTATCGACCTCTTACCGATTCCGTAGGAGAAGAGGACCTGAGTCCCAGCGGCGATCCAGACTTTCGGGTCAGCGAGTTTGGACCAGTCGGGTTTCAAATAGAAGGAGAGACCCTCACTGGCTCCTTCTAAAGTGACTCCTCGGATGAAGAGGATGCATAGTATGGCGTAAGGGAATAGAGCGGTACACCAGATGATTTTGCCACTTTGATGAAGTCCTTTCCAAATGACCATGTAGACCAAGAGCCATGCGATGAAAAGATAGATGACGAGTTCTGGCCGGAGGCTTCCCAACTCGTGCAGTCCTGATGTGATTCCGAGCACATTCCGACTGGAAGTCACGTCAAATCTTAATACGGAGCTCTGTCTCTTTAGCGTTAACACATGAATCCCGAAGAAGCAAGATCCTTCGGACAGGATGTTCTCCGTCATTTGGAAGATTCTTGGATGTGCGAGAACTTACTCCCAATATTCTTTGACAGCGGAAGTCGCGGTGCCGTTAGCGAAGGTCCGATTTTCCCTCAGGCCAACGCAAGTTTCGGTGTTCCATTCGTTTCCGCAATTCTCCCATGGGAGCGGCGAAGAGAATGAGGCGACGAAGTAGTAGAGGGTGTAGGCGATCAGAACGATGTAGTAGATATTCGACAAGCCGATCATCACCATCGAAGCGTAACCAACACCTGGAAGGAGCAGTATTTGAAAACGACCGCCAATCCAATGTTCGGAACTCAAGCCTGACGCAGAGATTATCGTGATTGTCGAAAAATTCGAGTGCGATCCGGCCCCCCAGTGCATCGATTGTACGCATGAGAAACTTTTGGATTCGCTCCGTGAGATTCGCAAAGCTTTTCAGGGAAGGAGTAGACTCTCATGCTCTGCGCGGGGACCAAATAGATTTAATTATAGCTCCGGGCAATGGATGCGGATGATCTCCAGGGTCAACAATAAGTCCTCTCGAAGAAAGGGTTACTCTCGGACAGATTTGACGTAAATGGAACACTGGAGAGGGCTTCGGTGGCAATCTCCGACGTTGATGATGCACACGAAGGGGGAGGGGGTTCGTGGGATGTTTCGGTGTGGGCGGATCAAGTTGAAGGAGTCGGTCGTATTTGCAGGGACTGAGAACCGTTCTATTCCACAGTCTCCGAAACCTACCCTTGAACATCGGGACAAGGTTCCAGATTCCGATTCCACCAGTATTGAGGTATTGTCCTATAGAAACTTCCATCATGAAGAGAGGAACTCCGCATAAGACGATGCTGATGAAGAACGGAACGAGGAAGGCGCCTGCAGTAAAAGAGAATTCCGTTAGAAATTTGATTTTGCCACCACTCTCGTGGATTTCCAATCCATTTCCGAAATCAGACTTGCATCTCCGATTCGCGCGACTGTGACCGATTGAGCTCAGCTCATCTTTAGCCCGCGCTTTCGAACCTGGAGGAGATCGTCGAGTACATCTCTCTAACCTACAACGACCCGACAATCAAAACGGGCGGCGATCTGCAGAAGGTGATCTACATTCGCGAACAAGGTGGACATCGTTTCCCATTCGAATCTCCGTCCCAGAAATCATAGCGGAATTCCGCAGGTTCGGTGCTCTCGTTGCCAATAGGCAAGCTCTTCCTCTTGTCATGATTCACCTTCACAGACCTTCCTCGGGTGAGAGCCTTCGAGACGGACGAAGCTCAACCGGTCGCGTACGAGCGGGCGGCGAGTTCTCCGACGATGCGAACCCGCTCGCAATAGCCACGCCAGGCGCGGTAAACTCGATACCTGCGTCAGCACCGGGGAATCTGCTCGTTGTTGACCGGTGTAATTTATAAAGCCTAATGCCGAATTCGGAGACGGCCGGAAACGACTTTGCATCTTGCTAGCAAGTATTATAACATCGTACATACATATGTACACGACATATAGGCCGTAATTATGGAGGGAACGATGCCTTCCCAGGCTTGAAAAACGATCCGACCTCCAACCGATGGTCTGTCACGCAAACAGGACGAACATCTGATCCGTGGATCTGTCGAGGTTGCGTAGAGCTCATCCGACGGTCGACGTTCCTCGAACGTGCCATTCTCTTCCAAGTCTCCAAGAAGACGGATGCCTTGTCTGATACTCTAGCCCAGCTCCTATTTTTAGTACAACGCCCCGAGTTGTAGGGTGTCATCACTTTGCCTAACGTGAAGACCCTCACAAGTTAGTCTTATGTTAGAACAGCTCTTAATCACGTGAGAAATTCTCCATCTTCTACCTCTACAAATTCTGTAGCAGCTGTCAACTAGGAATCATACCATGTCAACTAGAATCAAACGCGATTCGCCAACAGGTATTGCGCTGAAAGATCGTATCTGAACGGAATCCGAGCCTCGAGCTCCTCCAAGCTTCAGTGTCGCTTCACTGTGTCGTAATGAGTTGGCGAAACTTGCATCACAAGAGACATTCCGATGGGAATCAATCATATTATCCGAGACATATAGCTCCGGGGCTCCGTCAGTCATTCGCGAGAGACATCGTCCCTCATCTCACAACGGTTCGACGCTTCGGAAGAGGAATGATAGCGATGCTGAAACTTTACGACTATGAAAATCGAAGTCCCCTTCCGGAGGTACGCGCTGCAATGTCAGCTATCGACATATGTACATTGATGGCGACTTCGCATTGAGATCTGGCACTCTTCCAGTCGTAGACAAAAAGAACCTTTTTCAGGTAGGGGAAGGGCCGTCCATACGGGGAGGCATTATCCGTGACAGAGAAAGCAGTGTGAACATATTTTGATGTCAGAATCAACGCGCTAGCAAGAGCCAGGTGAGATGAGGCCCCGAGTACTTGATTGACGCGTAATGTATTTCCACGGTCGGTCGTGACCACATCGAATTGAGAGCATGAAGAATAGAGATGATGAAGGCATCAGAGGCGGAAGCTCGCGGGAAATGGGGGGCGTTTTATCCAGCTAGCAAAAGGCGATCACCCGCCTCAGATATCGATCGGCCAAGAAGGCTATGGAGGTCTGAAGACAAGCTTACTGAGCAAGCGTAATTTCTGTTCTTCCCGAGGAAAACGATAATTGGCCGGAGAAGAAAGAGGTAATTGAGCACGTTCTTCTGGATCCTCCAAGATTGGGAGAGATTTTCCAGCTGCCCGTGTATTCCGACGTCTGACGAACCAGAGAGAGCCTGGAAATCTCGGGAGTCTCCCTCAGCAGACGTCACCGAATGCGAGTCGAAAGAGTTGAGGAGTATAGGCAGCCGCTGAATAGAGAGCGAAGGCTGCAGCCCGAAAAAATAGACCGAGTGAAGTGTCGGCATCTCCGCCGGGAAGATAGATGGAAATCGCCGCGTTTGGCTGTGAGTTTCGGTCTGTTCGGGTGCCACCCGTCGTGTAAAACGGAGGTGACTTTTTCAAGGCTGACCATAAGGTACGCACTCCAAGCGTTTCTCCGCGGGAGGGCTCTGATTCCTGGCTCGGAATTTGACGACGCTGTTGTAATCGGCTCTCCGGCTGAAGTGCGAAGGACCCGTACAAGGGAGCCAGATACTAAATTCGGCGGACGACAATAGCTAACTTCGTGACACCTGCTGCCATTCCGTCTCGTTGACATTGGGTGTACGAGGCCCCTCCGGTGATTGACGCTCATGTGAGCGTGAATCGAAATTCGACTTCGTTCGCGAGAGGTGAATCAGATAGTGTAAATAGAGGAAGCAGCAGTGCTTCACGAAAGGCTCTGGACCCGCAATGGCGAATTTCTGAGTCGATGCCATTTCCAATCACAACCTATCGGAGATCTCGATCGAGGCGTTGCATCTCAAGATCTATCTCCGGATCAGTGAATCTCGGAATGTACCCTCAAGTCGATCGATCACTCATCCGCTCTCTGGATGACTCCGAGGAGTCTCTCCAATTCTAGAAGTTCTCAGGGAGGGAAGTCCCTGCCCCCACGGGGAATCGGGCAGGAATTCACTAACGATCAGAGCTATCATTAGAGAAGCCGAATGGCAGAGGCTGTTTAAGCTGTACTGTGGAAGTTCCTCCCGCTTGCCATCGCGGGGGAGCCCGGACACAGCTTTGCAAAATCCCGCGACACTTCTGTATAGGTCCATTGCCCTCGCCGATATTGAGATCAACATCTCGCTATACATACTTAGATCTACGTGTCCCGATACGCTTTCTGACAAAGAGGTCGTGTCGAGAGCCGAACATGATCGTAACAAAAGTAAACCATGTTGAATATCCGGAACCCCGTCGAGCGAGCTCATAAGATGTCACTGGTCCGGTTCGAAAGAAGTAGGAACCATGGCTCGTCAATACGTGAGCATACCTAGATCGATCGGGGATATTCCTGTGTGAGTTTCTACTTTGCTCTTGTTTTTCTCGGTCGAATCCATTTCTTCGCGGGAGTTCTCTCTAAGGCTCCACGATGAGCTTGTCCCTACGATCTCCCATCCCTTTGGTCTCTCGATATGAGATTCCGGATCCGCTCTCAGCAGCATGTCTCTTTCTGCGCAAAGAAAACAGCCGGATGAGCCCTGGAAGCTCACCGCAGGCTTTCTCCTTGTTTTTTCCGCAATTCGCCCGTGACTCCCATTGCGGGTTACTGTTCCTTTGCGAGGTGTTTCCTGCGAACATCGCAGCTCCTCTTGCGCGATACCAAGTTCTCCTCAACACAGACACTTCCCGTCGCGGAAGCACGTCTCCCTACTTCAAGGAAACTTTATTACTCCAAGAAAAAACATTAAAACCCTCAGCGAAGTACGGTTCTTCCCACGCAAATATCCTCTCCGTAGCGACCGGCCGAGACAAACACCGGAAGCCAGAAATTGCTTCAATGGACCCGAGTAACGAGCTTAGGGATAGATGCAAGTTTCCGTCCATTGAAGCACGGCGCCTCAGACCCAGAATGTTCGAGGAAGCAGGCTTGCCGCCTGGGCTCTTAGTCCGGCTCTGAAAACGTCCGACTCGAGGCTTTACAACCAGAAGCGAATTTCTTGCGTTTTTTTCTCTCGGTCGCCAGCTTCCTAGTCTCTGGTATTTATGCTAGGGCTTTCACCTCGAGCAACCTCTGGCTTGTTTGTCGTCTCGTCACGCTGTTAACCCAGTTTAGTCAGCGCCACTAAAATCATCCGATTCGTCCGAAGACGAGTTTGTCGTCTCAAAAATTGTTTCTACCTGATGATGCCGAGGTTTTGCCAGGATTTGACAACTCGCCGAGATGACAGCCAATGGAGACTCAGAGCTCTGCATTGTCAACCTGCTCTCTAGCCCGGGCGAGACTGTTGATCTGTTGCCACTTTCTATCCAAGGTCTTTCTGAGTCGGACTCCACTTCACCCTCGTCGGTTGCATCCCGACAACGACGGGGCCTCAATCCGTGCGACTCTGTTATTAGGCACAAGCTCATCCCCATGACTAGGGACTGCCGCCTCTCAGCCTTTTCCAGACGGGAAGTTTCTCCGTGAAAATTTCGCGGGACAAACTGCCGAGAACGAATACCGATCAAACACGCGAGTATTCGGCGGTTCCACTATTTCGTAGATTACCACGATGAGACGAGGGAGGGAGGGGGGTTGGTGAGCAACGAGCTCCGGAACTCCGACATTCCAGCACTAGTTCTCGGACTCTTCCACATCTCCTAGTAACGATCGTTTAGAGCCGCGATTCTCGCCATCTTCCCACGTCGTGCATACATCGACTCCACTTCGATACTCCGGGAGTTCAAACCGCCTGATGAAAGCTAGAATGATCGCTGGCATTTTAGCTATTTTATTTTGCGGAATCGATGCGAAGCGAGGGGAATTTGTCCGAGAGTCTCGTCCCATCAGCGGCTGAATTTTTCGCGTCTTGGATGTGCTGGCCGACTAGGATCCCCATATTTTTCAAGCGAATGACATCGAGCCGGCGCTATCGATGGCTGCTCGTCTCGTAGAGCAGAGAGCACTCAGCCGTAGACGAAACTCGACACGCTTTGCGTAACGTAGGGCATCGCACGTGCGTCTAGCAGCGATTCTTAACGAGTGCCAGGCAGGTCACCCGACGAGAACTCTTCCCAAAGAAGATCGCGACCAGCGCGACCCTTCCGTGTACCGACGACGAGAGAACACGGGCAAGGCTGCTGACAGTGCTCTCGAGAAACGAAATTTGACCCCAACATACATACGTAAAGAAACGACGGGTGTCCTATTCGCCGTCCTCCAATGGACCCACCGATTTGATGATCACGAGACAATCACCTCGGAAATCCGAAACGTTCTAGATTTGCTCCTGTCTCATTCCACGGGAAGGTCAAGGCCGTTCGAAATTTTATCGAGAAGCAGGATACATTTCATTTGAAAGTCCTTGATCCCCGGTCACGCGGAGCTTCGCTATCAGAAAGGGTGACTGATCCATGTGGTTAGTCAGACGTCTACAGACAAGGCGACTCCCGATGGAAGTCTCATAGGGGACACGAAACGGATACAGCTGACGTTTCGCTTCCCTGGTGATCTATTTTCGCCTGCCGAGGACGTTGATGGAACAGAGATCGCCATGCTTCCAAGGAGCTGCTTCTTGTTCCGCTCCAAGAATGTACCTCTCCCGATCCGGAGAATCCCTCGACATCGATCCCAGAAATAACGAGCGCGAATAGTTCCGCATTCTCCGTCAAGCCGATCGAGCCGATCGAGCCTGATTGGCGTTTTCGATTCCGCTCGTCCGAAACATTCTCAGGAGCGGCTGTCTGTGTGTCCCGTGGGGAAAAGTCTTTTGACGAGATCGCACCCGCTACTACGATTGAAGGAACAGGAGAGCAGGCGACGAGCGTCGCGAGAAAATTGTCAAATCACGGACACGCTTGCCATGCTTCTGTTTTCCGTGGACGAGGTGCTGATTGAATCCGTAATTCTGGACATAACCGACTTCACAGTATACATACATATATGTATATCAAAAGGGAATCAGAGCGGGAATTATCCCCCTCGCCGTGTATCCAGAATCAATGAATATTCTCGTTCTCATGTGTCGGCTATAGCTTTCGGCTACATCTCACAACAGATTCCTTGCCCGCTCAGTCTCGCTCCGCGAAGCTCGAGCGACGCTTGCACGGATCGAGAGAGGCACCGCGAGATTCCTGAGCCCTAGGAGACGTTGCACAGCGGCAGCGCACACAGTCTGTTTTGAGCCCAATGCGGAATGACAAGGCCGAGAATATGATTTTTGGCGGTCTGACTCGTGCGCTCAGAGTGGCCCGCAAGGGATCTCGTGACGCGCATATTCCCGCGCGGACAGAATGGGCTGCGGAAGAGCGCACTGCAGCTTCCGAAACTAATGGAAAAGGAAACCCAATCTTCCCGGTTACTCGTCGGATATCGTCGGATGAATGGCGCGCGTCCCGAATTCTATGCTGTTCTTTGTCGTCCTGTTTGGCATCTGATGGGATTCACCATCTCGCGGCAGAGCTCGGTCGAGGTTCAGCGTAACGTCATCCTTCTGAGCTCCGAGGTCTTATTGAGTTGTACCGAGCTTCCGACAGCGGTGAGATGATCCGGTAAAATCAATGATTTCGCCGAGAGCACTTTGTCGCGTGACGGAGCGTATTTTCCGAGCCGTGTGCTCGGCCTCTAGCCTCGAATACCGGGCCCGATTACGGCCGCGGGCTTCTTCCCTCCGCAAATCCAGTCCTCTATCAATGGAATAATTGGAAACATGCTCTCGTCTCCGCGAGGGAGAGTTGGAGAAGAATCAGATGATTCTCTATCTCTATACCCTACAGCTCGGCTAATTATTGACAGACAGATATGGTTGACTTGTCTCGTCTTGCGGAGTTAGCCCTATTGACTCTAGGATTGAGTGACGAGTCTTCGCGACCATAACATCAAGTCGCGACGGATGGTTGCTCTGATGACTTCGCAACAAGATAAGACGAGTTTTGAATCAGGAGTAATATATCCCGAAGCGAGAGCGGAGAATCATCCCTGAGCAGTGCTTGTATGAGAAGGATTGTAAACTCACAGGGGACATCGTAATCTTTATGACAGTGAATCCCCGTCATGGCGTTTACCTTTACTCTTGATTACACGCTCCGTTTCGCTACTTCGAAAGGGTTTAAGTTCTCTGGGTCCCGCTAAAGTTGCATCAGGGCTCCGGAAGAATCCTTTCTGCCTCAATCCGACACAAAGCGAACTTTACGAAGGAATTCCGCTCTGAGAGAGAGGCTTTGCTGCTCTAGCGGTCATTCGTGGAATGTTTTCATTCTCTTTTCCGCTGCTTGCGCATCACTCAGGAAATTCCGGCTCGTCCTTATGTACGCGATAGGGGCGCTAGACGCCCCGGTGCAAAGACATCTACCAGCCAGTGTCAGAGAGAGAGAGACGATTCATTGCGCGGAGCCTCACGGCATGGATCAGATTTCTCTGACATTCTTCCGGAGGTGAAAAACAGGAAACCCCCGGATTCTAGCTCCAAGTTAGAAATGAACGCTGCACTCACCGCCTCCGTTTTCGTAGGCCAGATACGGGAAACGCCAAACGTTTCCGAGACCGACCGCGTAGCTCACGCAGCCGAAAATGAAATCCAACTGTCCGTCCCAATTTCCTCGAACGGGCAGTTCTTCCTCGGAGTCTCCCGGGGCGCATTTTTTCGGGAGGGGACCGGCCTCCTGATCATGGTAGTTGATGCTGTTACAATCGATGTCTTTGTCGTAAGCCAGTTCGTAGCGGGGCCCACCTGCCCCGTCCTTGCTGCGCATCCCTGGTGCAGGTGGAGCTGTCGTTTGTCCGGTGAAGCTTGTCGTTGTCCTCACAGTCGTCGCGGTGGAATTATCAGACGTTGCGATGATAATAAAAGTCGAACAAGTCGGTGTTCGGAGACGACTCTCGATGCTCGTGGCGGTGCAGTTGGCCGAGAGGACACGAGGTGAGCTTTGCTTCGCGGTGTGTACTAAGGTCGGTGCGGCGGCTAGTCGAGTGCGATTGGACCTCTTCTGAGATGAGCTCGTCGGACCTATAGTTCTTCTCGTTCCGGCTCAGCGTTGAGATTCACAGAGTGTGTCTCTTGCCGTTTTCTTCTCGCCTGTAGTCGACCGCCGGTTCCCACTCTCCCGCGGGAAGGAACTTTATACTGCCAACACAGCGCTGGCAGCAGCGTCAGCGGCAACAGTAATCAATTCAACGATCTGAGAACCGTAATAATACGACCTGTTAGATACCGTCGTACGCGACCAGTCCCCAAAACGCATGGGCGATCGGGGGCGCCATCCGGAGAGCGCGGACGAGCGTCACGGAGAGGTCCGCCCGGTACGAATGAGAAATAAGCTCTGACCCATGACAGTCCGACCCGGGGAATCGACGGACACCGGGGAAGCGGACGATTCGAGCGGGCGGACCGTCCGACGTTCTTTGAAAAGCTGAAACTCGACCTACCTTGGTCTACGGCGACACCTTGAATGGAGTACATGGCGCAGATGAAGATGACAATCGCTTTCATGTGACAACCGTTGTAGTTCACCGTGAGGTCAACCATGACGACTAGCAGTAAGGCATATCAGTCCGTGGTTGAGCGTACGCTTCTGTATTTGCCTCCGGTCTGGCTGAGCGCGGGCGACCTCAACAACCTTCAACAACAACCGGTAAGGGACGAAGCGTCCGCGAGCACGACCGACGTGGGCGACGATATCACCTCACCGATGCTTCCGTCCGACAGATGGCTGGCAGCGGCCGCGGATGAGTTTCCTCCGGTATCGTGGCTGACTGTCAGGATTGTCGCTCAGCTTCTGGCAGCGAGTTCCAGAGGGCTAGAAGCAACAGGGATTTGCATTCAGTACTCACTCGACAAGACTCTTTAGAGAGACGAAGGCGAGAGGCTCGCCTGAGGGGTGAGGGATCCGCCGGAGCACTGTCCGGGGTGCCGACACACCACGACGTGAGTTGAGATCGCTTACCACGTCTCGCTAGATGCTCGGAAAGGGATCCGAAAAACGTTTCGCTCGCGAGACGACCACCTAACCGGCGCGATCCGGCCGTAAATAAGGCGGAGTAATTTTTGCATCAGAAAATCCTGAGCTCGACAAGAGGACCCAGGAATCCCGAAGGGAGCTTCCAGATGGAACGTCGAAGGTTCTCGATTACCTCGCAGAGCGACATGGACCGATAGGACATTGACATGACGGTGAATAGCCGAGACGGTCCTCTGTCAGATCCAGCGTCGAGTTTCAGTCCCATTCCCACAATCGGCGAGAATGAGACGCAAATTCATAGCCTAAACCAATTAGGTGGTTTTCTACGCAGTTTTCTCTCGTGGGCGGCTGTCCGAACCCGATATCGATTCGATTAGTGCAACGATCCGACAGCCGACCGCTTCAATGTAAACGAATAGAAATCTTGTTTCTGGAATGCGCGAACTCATCGATTTGTCCTATTATATATGTGGCCGGCTTTCTTCACTCAGAGCTCTGTTCCCAGTCGGGCCCGGGGACTCTCTCGCGAGATAGGGAACACTCGTATTCAACGACTGCCGCTGCTACCGATGACATCCTTGAAGTGCGGAACACCAAAACAAAACTCCCTGCGGGTCTTTCAGGCAAACGAGCATCGGGCAGGAAACCTTTGTTTTCGATCAGAAACTCTTTGCGCAAAGCAATCAATCCTGCGAGAGCACAGTCAGGACCACACGACTGAGACTGGCGGTGGCGCCGCCCTGAGACACGGTGTGCCGGGAATTCCGGGTTTGGAATATCGACAACGGGTCGGAATCTAAAGCGGATTTCGGGGTCGGAGCGCTAATATCGATTCCGAGCACGAATACTTCGATGCCATACCGATTAGACTAATTTCCCTGCGGAGCTTCAGTACGACTGACCCACAAATCACCCTGATTCCAATGACCTACGAAGATCTATGAGAGCATCGGTAGGGCCACCGCGGACGCGAGAGTTTTCATTTACTGCGACGATGACGCAACGTCACCATAATGCCTCGAATCGATTTTCGCTGCGGAGAATCCGCGAACATGACTCCGGGGATTCGGATCGACCTCAAAAACTCAACTGAATATTCCCTCGCGCTATTCATGGATAGAATGGACAGGAACATTAATGCGCCGACAGAGCGACGCGGCGTCGTTAAGTTTCAAACGAAAGAAGAAGTCTCACGAAGAGATGCGAGAATCGGGTCTCAAGTGCATCCATGTCTCAAGTAGCGGTCAGGATGATTTTCTCTGACACATTTGTTTACATTACAGGTCTAGGGCGGTTGCCTCTAAAGAGGGACCTGCGTGCCATTCACCACTTTTGCAACTAGTCTTCTAGTGTCCCACGCGGGGCGCCCTCTGTCAAGCTTCGAGCAAAACTCCGGGGCCGGGTCCAGCCGGTGCCACGTGATGTGTGACGTGCGGAGGATAACACGGAGATCCCATTAAGGGGTCGCCGACCAGATTCCAAATTGGGCTACTCTCTCCGCGGCTTTCTATCGAAAGGAGTCCAGTTGGCACCGAGGAGCGAACATTTTCCGTGAATGCATGGCAAAGCGACACGCTTTGCGAGTAAACATCGTATAATTCTCTGGGGTTGTAATCGTGCAATGACAGAGCAATTCCGTTGCGAACGACGCGACGGCGTAGAACCAGGCGTCCACCAGCCAAAGAGTGGAACGCGATCCTGGAAAGTGACCTCGATCAAGGACACGGAGGAGCATCTGTCGCGTCTCCTCTCAGCAAAGCTTCGCGTCATTGCTCGAAGTGAGCATTGAGATACACTGCTTGATGCATCATCTTATGGGAATCAGGCAGAATTTCACTCCAAGACGACCCCGACGTATTGCTCGAGATGCGACAAAGCCACGGGATCGCGCTAAGTTTTGAGAACGCGATACAGCTCCCGCCTGCATAAGCAATCCGAGGGAGCGTTCCGAGTGGAGGCGAAGGTCATTTTCTCCGGTCGTCTTCCTAAAGGAAGCGCTAACTGGCTCTGAAAAACAGTATGGATTATTTGATAAAAGTCCTGATTCTTCGGGTGACAAGCGCGCCCTCGAGATATTTCCCGGGCCTCATTAGTTATTTCGGATTGGAATGAATTATTATCATCTATATATGACGAATAAGCAGTTCCTAGGAGTCAATCTTCTGAAGATTCGGCGCCAGAGAGCGTTTCGGGACCAGGGACTCCTTGAATAAATGAGACTTTTGACAGCTGCCTCGCCCCCTCCCTACACTTTTGCAGCGAATTGACAAGTTTCTCTCCCGACTATTCGTAAAGGCTACCCATGAGGGACGACGAAAATCTCTCTGCCCCAATTCCTCGATTCGGTACGTCGACTCCGGTCTGATGCTTCTCATCGTGGCGAGCGTTTCGTCCTGCGGAAACAATTCGGGCGAGCGAATGATCAAACTGGCGATGAATCTGAGTCAAAGAGATTCGCGGTGGTGTATCTACCACTGTTCTGCGTTGAAGCGTTCCGATGCGAGCTGAGCTCGGAGACAGAGTCGCGCGTCGGCGCTGCCCGAGCCAATTCTCTCGGATAATAATGCCTTCCAGTATTCTGAATCACTCGACGAGTTTCCAGAGGGCTCCAGATTAATTCTCAAGGATTTCTTCGGTCCTCCGCGTCGAGCTGCTCCGCTGATATTTTACTTCAAAGGGCATGTCAACGACATCGACACCCTCCTCAGGGTAAATGTAAAGTTCGACAGTCTGATGAATTGAGAGGCGAGAGCACGCTGTCGTCGATATCCTGAAAGAGAGACCACTTCATCCAGCTCAATCAAAATTGGAAAAACGCCGAGAGGGTGAACATGGAGGGCTTTCGAGCAACATGTCCGAGGTCAGCGACGCCGTCTCCGCGGAGTGAAATGCTGTCGTTCCGCGATGTGAGCCATTCAATGGGGAGAGATCGCATCGCTCCGGCCGGAATTCCCAGTCCCGGGAAATAGTCCGGGGACTCTCCCTTCTTCGCGGAGATTGCACAGTCGACCAGAATCACTCCGGGAGATAATTGTTCTCTTCGCGAAAAGAGAGGGAAAGTCTCGCACTGATTTCGTGTACGGGAGTCGAGACTCTCCATCCACTAGATAAGCGTTCCGAGTGGAAATAATTCTCTCAACGGAAATCGGACATGATCCGGAGAGGCATCGAGCGGCCAAGCGGACTCCCGGAACGGATAAGCTACTCGAGCTTTTCGATTTTCTTCGTCGAGCTCGGACGACCTTACTGAGTTAGAATGCTCATCATTGAGACATCAGAACTCTTCGAAGTCCCGCAAACAGCATGGCGATCAATTGGTGAAACCCTACGCCCGTCCCGAACCTGATCGCTGGACTGATCCGACCCCTTGGCGTCAATTTCGATTTCGGAGAGTGGGCCCTCCGTGGGACAGCTCGGATATTCGGTCTTGTTCTCATTTACAGTAACAAGTCACAGAGTAGACTCTTCCACTGTCGGAGCCAGAAACCGAACAGAGCAGTCTACCCATTAGGGCACTCGGAAAGTGTTACCGAGCAAATTAGTCCTGCCTAGTGACCGACCGACAATCGAGAACAACCGAGTTCCGGTGAAGTTTACAACCGGCTGGCTCCCAATCTTGTCGGGAACTGAGTCCCAAGTCAATATTTTGAAACCGTCGGCGACTCCCATACCCAAGAAGCACGAGCCAACGGCCAGTATAGTGTCTCCAGGGTCGACCTGGGGAATTTCCATTGAAGAATCCTCCAAGGACTCATTCCCAATCGTCTCCTCTGACGCTCAGTTTTGACACACTTAACGCTTTGGGGAATGGTATTGATGCATCGACATCCGAGCGGAAGCTGCTGAGCTCTGATGCCCCGGGAAATCGACGCTAACAGTCAGAAGCTCATCGAGGAGTAAAGTTTCGAGCCGGTCACAGTTTGTGAGGTTGCTGTCGTCTGTACATGTTACTAGGAGTTGTATCGAAAATGTCTCTTTGCACGCCACGACTACATTTGTTGGATAGCGTAAGGTGTCGTATCACATTTTATCTTCGAAGGGCTTGATGAGTCTCCTCGAATGAGTCTCCCGATGATGGTTCCAAGATTCTGCCTTCTCTCCCCTCTGTAAAGAGAGCAATCAATCATATTCTGCAATGACCCAGTCTTGAGTTCAGGGTTCCTCGCGGATGCGAAGCGGAGCCTCTCGATAGCCGAATCGGAGGTCTGAAGGTCAGACCCCGGATTGGAGTCACGCTTAGAATCGCCCGAGATCCTCATTTGACAGATATGGCCGTCTCAGAACGTGTCGAGGTCCACGGAACGTTTCGCAGAGCTTCCTCGATATCAGCCCCATGATGATTGTTCACAATTATTGCGTCCAACATCAGAAAATCCGTTGAAAGCTAGTGTTTCGGCGAAGCGGGACGATTTCTCGAGCTCTAAATCTCACGGGCGAAACAATGAGAATTTGAATTTTCTGTAATGATGGACACCTCGTTCTTTTCCTGAACACCGACCCTTGTTGGAGTCAGGCGTGATCGCCAACAAGGGTCGGTGTTCTCCGAGGCTGCGAGACATACATGGATGGTGCAAATGCGAAACAATTCACCAGAATGCGGTAAACTGCGATAATTGTATCCTATATCCGAGCATCCGTCCGAATCATGCGCTCCTCCGCATCACCATCGCCGGAGGGTATCGTGACACTGAACGAGCGCCCCAGAGACCACATTGGGTCAAGGTCATCGCCAGAGTGGAGGTCGCGCCAAAGCGAACACGTCAATTGCGACCAGCTTTCCCAGAAGCTCGGAAGCTCCACGATAAGTTCATCGAATCGTACAGGAGCTCTATCCGCGTCATTTTCTGTGAAGCTCCATCAGAAAAAGCTCTACACTCGTGAAGGAATGGCACCTCTCTCCGTGATGTTTGCTCGACCAAATTCCCTGAGAAACCCAGGGGAGATGGAGCGTGAGAGAAGGAACGGAGAAAACCTGAAGTCGAGTGTTTTACGGGTGCTCCAGTGTCTCATTGTCGAGGAAGGTTTATTTTCGGAGGCACCAGTGAGTTTCCGAGGCACCGCTTGAGGACCCAATGCGTTATCGATCTGCAATCGCGCAGCCCCTCGACGACTTTACGGGGAACAGTCGATTGCCGTCGTCGCACCACACAGGTCTCTAAGGCAACCGTCTTACACAAACAGGATTTACATACACAGCCACAAGCCCCGGAATTTTCAGCGATGGGTGAGTCTTCTTTGAAATTCGCACACATAGATTTCCCAAACCGTCTCGTTGTTCGGAGGGTAGCATGCCGCCCAGGCTGGACTGCTGAGCGATCTTTGCATCGGATCCACGTAAGTGCCCAAGTCTGCATACCCCAAACAGCATCACGCTCACAACATGTGGGAATGAGATCCGAGAACCACAGAACCCGGAACTTATCATCATGTTCAAATAATGGTGTTCACATGAGTTTGGATGTCTCGGCCCTATACGATGTTTTCTCCGATGTCTGAGCTCAGTCCAGCTTCGTTTCTGTAGGAGCTCCGTTCGCAATGCATCCACGGATTTCGATTTTCTGCGTTTGTCGCAGACCGCTGTCATGGGTTGAAACCGTAGACTGACATGAGTGACAACCGAGACCGTCCGCCAGTCGAAGCGCTCTGTTGTCGTCGGAAGTCTCTCGGTTCTGAGACGTTGAAAGGACAATGGAATTAGGTGATAAATATTCACGAGCGTAGTTCCGCCAAGCCCCCTCGGGACTCGGGTTTCTGAGCCGACGTGATGCTAGCACTCCTCAGACTACGGCTCCTCAGTGGCTGGGATAGTCTCTTGCTCAGAGTACGGCCCGCTCCGGTCTGATGCTCGACGCAAACTTTGATTAGATAGAGTCGGAATGGGACTTTTTCCGAGCGTGCGATACTACTACGAGCCGTTTCCAGAGGATCCGGCTCCAGAGCTTGTGTCGTGTGGAATATGCGGGAGACGCTTCAAAAATGACGCTCTGGTGAGTATTGGAGTGTAGATCACACGAATAGAGCGATCGGGCCAGATGATTCCGACGCCAGTTTTCGAGGGGGTCCACGAGAGGGGTAAATCCTCATCAGAAGGGTTTATGCTGGGCTAGGTCCGAGATTGTGCCTCCGCGGTATCCCAGTGAATGACTCCGGAGGTTCATACGCGGGACTCAGAACTCCACAGTAGATTCTTGCATGTTTGCGTCCTCGTATCGGGAAGTCCGGACCGCGTATGCGGTTGAGCGTGGAGAGGAAACCCATTCCTCCAATGCGGAACATCCATTGACCTCCTGACACACTTTTTCGGACGGAAGGGCTTCGGACTTAATTTACGAGCTCGCATCCTCCATTGCCGTCTTCCCGTTGGTTCCGGAGACCTAAAATTGATATGCTCTGGTAATACGCTATATCTAATATAGTAATTTCCTATCCGACTGAATGAGATGTATATCATTAATTCGCATCGGCGAGTCTCCCGATCGAAGCTTCCAAAATATTTAGGGACGGGCGCTCTATTCCGGATTCCCCCGTGAAAATAAATCCCTAAAATGACTTCGAGCTCTAACATCCACCAAGATCTTCAATTCTGGAGACTCGAGCACGATGAATACGGTTACGGGCAATGGCGGAGATCCAGAAATCCGAGGAATATCTAAGCGAGATTCCCCGCACGGGGCTGAGGTGTCTCTATTCCATCAGAATCGTGCCCACACAATGAGGACTTTGGGCACTACTTTGGGCACTCCACAGAATTACTTAATTCATTTTGATCACACAGAGAATTGAGATTCATCGAATAGGTTTAAGAAGAAATTCGATTCTCGCAGGAGAGACATCTTCCAATATGCGAGAAGAACTCGAGAAAACCGAAGAAAGTATTCGACATGAGAGCTAAGCGACGAGACGCTATCATTGAGGAAAACAACGTGGATAACGCTCACGAAATATTTTCGAAACCAACGGTGGGCCAGAAGGACCGACCTGTGAGTTCGTCCTCGTTTCCGTGGGCGGCTGAAGCTCTCCTCCACAAATCCTGATATCCCCGATGCTTGAATCAGGCAGATCGTTTGAACAACAGATATTTATTTTCTCCAGGCAGATCGAGCCCGAAGGAACAGTTTCCTAGATCCAAAAGCGCCCCACAGATTCGACAAACCGCCCGCGAGCCCAAAGCCCGCACCATTGAAACGTAAACCTGCAAACGCTCCTCGGGGAGGTCCTCCTAAACCTAAACTGGAAGCACCGAAGACGCCGGTCCCGAGGAGACGGAGAGCTCCGGCGACAGAGAGCACACCAATGGTTGGAAAACCCGGGAGTACACCGACGCACAAGAGTGTCTCCAGTCGATCCACAACTCCGGGCCGCGGTGCCCCGAAGCACCGAGGGACTCCGTCTCCGGACGTCAATGGTAACACTCGGAAAACTTCGAGCCAAACTTCTAATCGAGGAGGAATGCGGAGAGCTGCATCATCTCCGAATATAGACACCAACAACAATAAGGCGAAGAAGTGAGTCTTTTGGGCTATTCCGATCGGGCTAGATACGTGACCGCTATACCGAGGAGAGGGGGACAATATTGCGTTTTTCCGACGGCGGCTAATGTTCCTGAAACGATTCCCCAGGGAAGACCCCGTGGTAAAGTTCAAGGATAAATTCCCTCACCATGTGAACCCGCATCTGGGATCGCTTTCGGTTGCATACAACAGGACGTCGAGCCCTCACGTTTTGATATCAATCAAGAAGCCGCGCACCGTACCGGGAGTGAGGACTGGGGGGCACAGCGGGGTTGAATTCGCGGACCCTGATCTTCTGAAGAGACCACAGAGTTCCATCGAGCTCGACAGTGGGTATGCTTGTAGATAGCATGTGCATGTCTCGTCCGCCGAATGTTCCAGGACGAATTTAATTTCTCGCGTCCATCGCTGTCTCCGTTCCACATCAGCTGGTCGGGTTCCCGGATAGTCTCGAGTCGCTCGCCATCGCCGCGAGGTCCTTCCGTCCGAGCTGCGAGTTGGCATGATCGCTGAGCTTCTTAGGAATTCGACAGGAGACCCGTACCTTGATTCAATTTCCTCTCTGATTTTCGTTGCAGGTGGGACTCGAAACGCTTGACGGAGGACTATGTCCTCCAGCACTCTCTGAAGCTGACCGGCAGTATGTCGGATCTGAGGAGCAGCGCAGATGTTTGTTCAAAGTGCAATTCGCCGTTCTTGGTGAGCTCCGCGAAATTCTGCTTCAACTGTGGAGAGAAGAGGACCTGATCCCGGGACGACAGACTCAAGGATGGTTGCGCTCAACGATAAGCAGAGTCCTCGGCGGAAGAAGCGAGGTGGAGAAAAGGTTACCAGAGTGTGTGGATTAGGTGTGCTCATGGATTAGGAGGAGGATCCGAGCCGCTCGTCGGAGGTTGAAGGATCAGAAGAGCAGCTCCCGCGGGAGTTTGATGTTTCCAACGTGAGAGCTTCCGTGTAGGTACATTCGGGTACCAACGACAGGAATCCGTACGAGCATCAAGTGACGTATTGAAGTCGAGTACCAAACGGCAGCTCCAGGTGTATTGTATGTATAGCGAGCTTTTGTTGTTGACGGGAGAACAAATAAAACTTGTTATGCTTCGGGACTCGAGAATGTTTGCGGATAAATCTCCTTCATATATAATCGGGTAACAAGTAGCAGCCCAACTACATAACATCGTTCGCGGCGCAATTCGCTGAAAGATGAATTCGAAAATGGGCGCCGTAGAGACTTCTCTGGAGCGCGGATCTGTGACTGTTGCCTAGTCGGTCTCGGAGAGAATATGACAACAGGCGAAAAGTCTCGAACGCGGAAAACATGTTCGAATTAAAGATACTTTTATTTTCTATCGGCTGTTTGACTTGCTCGGGACTGTTCGAAGACCAGGTTGGCAAATGGGATTGGCTCCGGAAGCACGTGGGACCAGTGAAGCACGTGAATTTCGGTACCATCGCAGGTGAGCGATCCAGTCATCTCTGACACCGTCAGAACACTTGTGAAATCGGCGCTGCGATATCCGCAGATTGAGCATGGCCGGAAAGCTCTGCAGCATGTCTGAACTGCAGCTAGCTCCGTCATGAGCAGAGCTTCAAAATCCGGGCACGACCGAGAGGAAAATTGTGGGAATATTCGCTCACGGCGATGTTCTTTGGATCCACTCATAGCGAGAGCCTCCCTATCTAAGTACTTCACGAGCCGTTCTCGTGCGCCGACGGTTCTAAAGAAATCCATTCCTTGCACGCCGATCACGCAAGTATTTTTCCCTCAGGCGGGAACATTTTCGTGGGAACCGCTAGCAATGTTCTGGCTTCGATAAATTCCCGCAGCGGGAAGTTGGTGTGGCGGAAAATCCTACAGGAAGACGAAAGAGGTAAGTTCATCAGTCCTCAGTTTCCTGATCCTTGGCGGTGTTCCAGCCGGAGCATCGAAAAAGTCATTATAATTCAATGGCTCTTCGGCCCCCCGCCCTCAAGAGTATCGGGAGAATTCCGTTTTCCCGATCGCGACCGCTCCAATCCAATCACCGAATGACCTCTGCTCACTGGGCGGCTTTCCAGGTGTGATCCATTCGCTTTCGAGACGAGGTAACCCCATTCTAGTCACGGGCTCCGATCCCCCCATTCTTCGATCTTTTCACATTTCCGGAGCTCTACATTGGGAAACGAAGCTCCCTTCCACTCCGCCGAAGGACTCCGAACAAGAACATTTCATAGATGCCGAGAGCATGACCGTCGTCTCCGTGTACACGTCAGCGAAGGACGTGGTCGTTTCTCAGTTTTCGTATGCATCCCAGGAGGTAATCAGCTCGATCTCACCAAACTCTCTGATTCCTACGAGGAATATGCAAGTTGACAAAATTTATCCCGCAAGGCGGAGTGACGCTCCGAGTCTGGAGGTGAAAGCGAGTACGAGTTTTTTCTTGTTCTGCAGACTAAGACCTCAGAGCCGATCAGTGCTCCCTTCGCAAGGCTTTCGAAGTGCACCCTCGTAGACAATTCAATCTACGTCTGTCTCGTGGACCAGACTCTCAAAGTTCTGGCTTTGAGTGATTTGGCGCGAGGTTTCATCAGCAGCGATCTCAAAACTGACGCTTCTGCCCTCGAACTCAAGGGGCTCCCGGAAGGTCGTTTCGTTGCCGTACGCTCTAAAGTCTCCACATGGCTTTACGGCGTATCGGCCAAAGGCGCCGAGTTGCTCCGTCAGTTCGATGATCTCACAGAGATCACCAACTTCAAGCATAATGGTAGGCTTGTATTTTATTGGTCTAGAGGGTTTCCTTGTTCTTCTAGAATACCTGAGCGTCTCAAAATGTATCTTGCAACTCTTTCAGATGTGGTGTACCAGGTGCTCGCGAAGCGATCCGAATCTTCGTGCTGGACCCTTAGCGTTCTCGACAGCAAGTTCAGCGAAGTGTCTGAGCTCCGAGGCGAAATATGCATTCCGAACGTCTTCAGCGGCATTCGAACATTGGACGTGATGGGTCTCTCGAAGAAAGATGCCGCCGTCAGCTATAGAGCGGTGGTCACTACTGACGACGCGGGCGTGTTGATGTTCCAGAAAGAGGGGCGCGTCGTTTGGAGCCGTGAAGAAGCTCTCAGCGAGGTGACGAACGTCCAGTTCGTTGATTTGCCCTTGTCGGACATCGAAGCCCACATCGAAGAAGAGTTCACAGAGAAACCGACCGGTGTCCTCTCTATGCTGATCAAGCGAATTTATTCCCAGCTCCAACAGCTGGCAACATTCTTCGAACCAAAGAATCCGCTTGCGAAAAACTTCGGCCTCGTGCGCGATAACTTCGGTTTCCATAAGGTTGGCTCCGCTCCCACAGAGAGTTTCCGATTGATCATCATTGACAGACCCGATACTCTCTCTCCTGCTATAAGACGCGAATCAGCAATCAGCTTTCCAGTCTGCATCACATGCTCCCTTCGACAGGTGGTTTTCATGGCAACGAAAGTCGGCAAACTTTTCCTGGTCGACAACCTGAGCGGTGATATCCTATGGAGTCGATACCTTCCGAATATCCGACCATTCTCGAATGGACAATACATTACCGTGAGTTCGAAGAACCGAATATGCAGAAATCCGCCGATCTCCGATCCGTGCCCATGAGAAGGACGATATGGATATTGGATATACGGGATGAACAATCGCTGATTGCTTTTTTTCACGCTCGACAGGTGACTCAGAGATCTACTGCGCACATTCCTCACCCTCCCGTACTGTCCATATTCGGACGTAGCCCCAGCGGAGGGAGCAGAGTTTTGGCACTCAACCCAATAACTGGACAGATACTAGACGACCAACACTTAGACATTACCATTACCCAATATTCTCTGCTGCAACCAAATGAAGAGTTCTTGAAAGGTGTCGTCTTGTACGACGAAACCACGCGGTGAGTTTGGCCTATATCGCCCCCAGTCTGGTCCGACAGGTTTCCGTTCAACTCCATGCGCAGATCCCTCTTCAAAATCGTGGTGGAACCGATGACTCATGTGAATTATCTCTATTTAGGAGAACTATCGTGTATCCCGCCAAAGCAAACACAAACTACAAGCACTATCTGCTGACGGTCGGTAAGCGAGGTGTCGCCGACGGATTCCTGCTCGAGGACGGAAAAATCGATCGCCTGTGGTCCATCCACTTGGCGGCGGGCTCTGAAGTCGAAGGCGTCGCGGTCAAGGGTCAGGAGAACGTTCACTCCCAGGGACGCGTTCTCGGCGACCGCTCGGTGCTGTACAAATACATTAATCCGAACCTGGCCGCGATCATCAGTCGAAGTGCCCAACAAAATAGCGTGTTCGTATATCTGATTGACGTGGTCACCGGCTCGATCATCTATCAGACAGTGCATCGGAAGGCTAAAGGACCCATTCATATGGTGCATAGTGAAAATTGGTTCGTGTACTCCTACATCAATGAGAAAATGCGCCGTCAAGAGATCAGTGCCATCGACCTCTACGAAGGTTTCGAGCAACCGAACGATACGTTCAGTAGTTTCAGTTCGGTTCAGCCACAAGTTGAGCACAACACCTTTATCCTACCGGACTACATCGTCCAGCTCAAGGACACTGTCACCGAGAAAGGAATAACCTCGAAACTAATTTTGGCGGCGAACGCTCAAGGCTCGATTCTAGAGATACCCAAGGCGATGCTCGATCCCAGGAGACCGGTCAATCCCACCATGCTCCACCGAGAAGAAGGTCTGATTCCGTATGTTCCAGAAATTCTCGTTCCTCCGCAAAGCATCCTCAACTACAACCAATCAGTGGCCAGAGTTCGCGGCATCGAGACGGCTCCGTCGGGACTAGAGAGTACCTGTCTCGTGTTGGCCTACGGTCTTGATCTCTACTACACGAGAGTAGCACCGAGTCAGAACTTCGACATTTTGAAGGATAACTTCGAGCATTACTTCATATTGGTCGTTTTGGCGGCACTCGTTACGGCGACTTATGTGACAAGGGCTCTGTCGGCTCGGAAAGCGCTGAAAGCAGCGTGGCAATAGCGTTCGCTATAGGACGAGAATATTTTTTGTATTTATTGATCGACGCGAACAGTGTGTAAATTGTCAGAGCATGGATGCGCCTGAGAGCGAGTCGAGTTAATTAAATTATTATTACTTAAGTCGCATTAAAATAGTCACGTTTTATACCTGAATTCGATGGAAGCTGCCTGTTAACTTTCAATTCAACAGAAAAATTCAATCCGGCAGGCTTCATAGGAAAATGGGGCGGGCGCTTCCTTACGAGAAAACTCATACCACGCGGAAAACGAGGGAGAGGACAATCACCGAAGTAGATTTTTCGGGGAGAGCATTCCCTCCCAACGCTACAGAGAGTTGCGACATCAGTCTCGATTTCGACGAAAAAGCTAATGTTTATGCTGATCCTATCGCCTCTGCTTTCGATATCATTTCCAGTCGGATTTCCTCTCAGGTTACCCGGTCGAATTCCCCCAAGCTCCTGACAGGTCTTCGGCGTGGATGGGTTTCATCTCCTTTCATCCACCGTCCTCAACAGTAGTCCCCATGAAAATCTGTTCTCGACCCTCCAGAAAGCATCCATCGAGAAAAGTGACTCTCGAGCTACTAGACCAATGAAAGGCTCATTCGGTCTACTCCTGCAGGTGGAAGAGCTAAGGGACAAGCATGAAGACCTTCAAGAGAGGCAGAGGATTTATTTTCACAAAATTCTCTCCAGCCGCTCGGAGCATACTGTCGACGCCGGATTCCGATCCTCTAATCGAAGAGACCGAAGCCCATGTCTTCATCTTCCTCCTCTTCTTCTTCTTTCTTCTCCTCCTTCTTGGCGGGAGCGGCGTCTCCGGCGGCAGCGGCAACTGGAGCTGCACCAGCAGCCGGGGCGGCGCCGACTCCGGATCCAACGTTGGTGATGAGAGCCTTAAGATCGCATCCTTCGAGGGCCTTGGCGAACAGGGCTGTAAATAATAACGAGCAAACCTTAGAATCGTCACGACGGTGGGTCATCTCGCTGCTGAGCGCCCTGGTGTTTCCCGGAGCTCGGCAGAGAACTCGGTAAATCGGTGAGCTCCGGGCGTACCGATACCGGGCTTGCAGAGTTCAGCGCGAATCATGCTACATTACAACGGAAGCGTTTTCGGAAGCGAAATTCCTCTCGAGGTGCGCCGAGCCATAATCGAAAGATGACTTGTTTTATTGCAGTATTTATTCCGCGGGGCAGAACAATCCTCATCAGCGCAGAACCCCCTAGGAGCTTGGGAAGTCTTCGCCTTTCGAGTCGCGGACGCGACTAGAAGGCTGTCGCCGATGTCATTAAGAATTGAAACCATGTGCCCGCATACGGGCTTCAGTGCCGGCCACGGACCACGTGTTCGAAATTCCGAGACTTAAATTCTCCCCCGCACGATTGTTCGCTCCGGGATCGTCAATCCTCAATTCGAGATCCAGACAACTTGTCGACCTGAGATCGCTCTCTCTCCAAATAAATTCATTGATGTCGCGTTTACTTCGAGAAAGCGAAGAAACAACTCACTCGGCCAGTAGGGCTCGACGGTGACGTTGGCGGCCTTCAGGATGGCGTTGATTTTCTCGGCGGTGATGCCAACTTCATCGTCCTGAAGGATGAGGGAGGCGTAAACACAAGCCAGCTCTTCGTTGGATGCCATTTTCGAGGTTTGAGAGTCCTGCTCGATGGAGTGCACGCTGCAAATTGCCTTAGCCTTTCAGGAGCGATGCACCTTCAACGAGACGCGATCGAAAAGGATTCCGAAACCGGATGCCTACAAGCACCACGAGCCACCGATTCTTCCCGCTGTTTTGGCGGCGATCTGGAGAGAGCGCCCGATCGAGGGCCCCGTCCACCTGATCGTCATGTTTCGAGAGATATGTTTTGCTGCTGTATTCTTGCGAAATCTCACTGAGGGCAGGCGAAACTCTGCCCTAATCCGAGGGAGGACTCTGATTGGAGGCATTCAATGGCTTGCATCTGCATCCCACAGGCAGACAGGGCCCCTTCCCATCCTTTCATCGTACCATTCATGGAGCTCTCGAGCTCTCTCCGGTACGCGATCGTATGTTCCTCATAATACGATCTCGGAGGAATGATTCGGATGGATTTCAGACGATATCAGTTTTCGTCTCGTGGCATCACGATTTCCGCTTGAAACTTCGGTCCTGATTCGAAATTTCCCGCTCGCTCCCGACGTTGGAGCCTATGTTTTTGAGCGGGCTTACAAAACTCTCCGGGATCGCGCGCGGTGTTGGATACGTTCTCGGTTGTAATAGATTCGAGGACATTCGCGGAGGACAGAGGGACTCGCACGCAACATCGGAGACCAGTGAAGAGAAAGTTCCATGGCAATCGATACGTGTAATTAAGCACTCCGCAAGGGAAGAATTCGGAGGCGCGTGCTGCCGGACAGAAACTTCTGGACGAGCACCGCATCTTTCCGAATCCCGATGGAGACCCCACCACGTTTTTGTGGAATTTCTTTCCGTTTTCGGGGAACTCGCCCTTCTCATGAAGTGCTGGGTGTGTGACAGCGATGTCTCTTCAAGCAAGCCGATCATGCAGGATTTGGATTTCGATTAGAGCTCCGATGCCGCGATTGTGAGCCCGAGCAGATCGATTCGGGTCCGCAAACTCCGCGATGAGACAGCTCGGCGCCAATTCCCCAGGAGCGAGCCTGTTTTGTTAGGTCATGGAACTCACTCCTCTACTGCACGGTGATTATGATGCCGCTGATGAGCACGTCGAGGGAGCCGACGAGAAAGTCACGCAGATCTGTACGGCGGGAGCGCTTCGGGAAAAGGTAGAGCAGAGTAAGTAGAAAGAGATCATCGGACTCCGTTCGTTCTCGATGGCTTTTTGAAGAAGGTTCCGCAGTCGAGGATCATTGCTCCACAAACTGTCGAGTGAACCCCGACGGGCCGACCTCTCGATGGAGTCGATCGGCACTGAGGGAATCTCCAGCGGATAATTGTGAGGGGAGAGCTCGTATACAGGAACTGCATCAATTTTCACTCACTCAGAGCTGCCTCCAGCAGTTGTGCAGGCGGAGCCGCTCGGTTGCGAGAATCCGGTGATAAAGGGAGAACAAGACCGTCAAAGTAATCGTAAGCGAAGTCTCCGAGACACAGCCGAAGTGGGCTTCCTCTCGAGTAACCAGTTCAGGAGCATCGATTATTAATCTTTGCTTCGGGTGACCTTGCGTGCGGTGGCCGCCAGAGGCGAAAAGGAAAAAGGGCAAAACACGAATTATTGCCCAAAACACTCGACCTGATCGAATCCTTTGGTGTCTGCGGGAAGAGGCCCTCGATTGTAAAGGAGCTTGGCGGAAGTATCGAGTGCACGGACGGAAACACGAGAGCGGCTGCCTCCTTCCGACAATGTATCGCACTTAAGGTGCGAAGGGGGAACTCGAGACTGATCGCGGGTAGGATCTTCCAAGGTTGGGCCCTCGGGGAACTAAGTTCCCTTCGTGGCTGATTTCTCGTAACTCTGAATCTAACCGGACCGAATTCTCTCAGAATAAGTCGAAAACTAATCGACTATGTCACTCATGACTGTTGATTCACTCTGACAGAATAATGCTGAGGCATGAGCCTCCCCGAAGCACGAAGAAGACGCAATCTGATTCTCCCTCCCGGTATGGATGTAGTTTCTCGAGCGGAGTAGAGGGAAATGGAGATATCGAATCTATCTTCCAAAGCCTACCACCGCCCCACGGAGAAGAGGAGCCTAGAAGCGCGCAGATGATCCTAGAGGAATCGGAATTCTTGAAATAAACTGGCTCCTAGATTAGTGGGCATCAGCTCCAAGTTTCAAATCCTGTGTATTGCTAGCGAAAGAGAGAACATATGGTACATGAGAGTAGACTTTTGTACATTATCCGCAGCCGACGGTTGCTACTAATGCGGCTGGGGTACGTGGCCATCGACATAGAAGTTCCGCGTCGCTCGGGGCAGTTGTATCCTCAGACCATCGAGCTCTTTCGAAAGTATGATCTGACAACCTTGAAAGGAGCGGAATACTTCAGTCATCATCGATCGATCGATTGCCCGATCTCAGGCAAGCATTGACTCGGATCTGCATATTCGTATGTATGGAGTTTGAAATCACAAGTATGATATGAGAAACGCTCAGCCCTTACCAAGACGCGAATTCTCCTTGAGGAAAGGCGCCAAGTCTAGAAGATCGTCTTCCCTATCGGGGAGGAGAACGGAAGAATCATAAACCTCCGTTGGAACGTCTCGTGACGAATCAGAAACAATCATTGTAAATGGCTTATCTAGGTCATTCAGAAACACTTGGAACCTCACCTTTCTGTTGCCCCTGGAATCCTTTCTAGATGATCTCCGAGGACATAAACGTGACATGTGGTGCAGGCCAGAGATGCTTCGCATGCTCCCTCCATTTCGATTCCGTAGCGATGTGCGAGATACATAACATTGTCTCCTACCTACAAGGAGAAGACCGTCACGGTGAATCCAATCAAGTCGAACAGACTCCCTCCCTCCCAGAACGATTCCCCTTGTGGAAAACTCACCTTTCCCCGAACATTGTATTCGTCACCGTCCTTCGTTATATACGTTATATTGACTCTGGAATGGCGATAAATTATTCTTGAGACGGATGACACTGGGCAATCAGCGACTCAGCGGAGGACACGATCGCACATGGAGGCTAACTCACACTTCATCCTCGGATTTGGGATCTTGCCATTCGGGTCGTCCTCCCTCCCCTGGAAGAGTTCAGGCACTTGATTCCTTCTTCCCATGGGATAATTCAGCAGAATAGGCTGCAGTTACCAATCTCTCGTCGCTTTCTTATTCGACTGCAGACCTTCTGCGTGGAAGCGAACTCCGACGAGTCGCGCGGGTCTCAAGGCTCTCTGGATGACCCTCAGCATCGAGCTCGCTGTCGGGAACGACTCTGCTCCAGAATCAGCCGCTCTCCGCGCTCCCGACTCCTGGGGACAGCCACTACAGATTCAACTCGCTTCACGACCCCACGCCCCACAATGTATCGAAAATTTATCCGCTCGCCGTTGTCCGAAATCAGCTGATATTTTCTCAGCCGGGTGTTCTCTCCCCGTGCTGGGAGACGACGACGGGGGAGAGATGTTTGGAAACGAAGGCGTAGATTATCTATGATGGGTTTCTGAGCAGCATCGGGCGGCTCTTGCCAAGCCGAGCAGAGATACACATATCTCACACAAACGTCGCTCATATCTCCCACGAGAGGCCATGAGAAGCTCGTCGCGAAATTAGAGGATTATAAATGTGCGGGGTTTTCCGGACTGGGTGGATTGGCTGGAGCCTGAGCTGAAACTTGTACAATTAGATCGTGCATGCGTAATTAATGACGCCATCTGTCGCCGAGAAGTATCTCCACAGTCCAGTAAGTCATCTGAAACATCCGCATGTTTTCGGTCGCGGTGCATCTGTAGCTCTGGGCTCAGACTAGAGGGAAGGATTCCTTTTTGGAGCGATCTTTTCGTTCCTTCAAAGCGAATGATTTTTGTTAGGTCTCGGCGGGATCGCTCTGCGGCATGGGAATCAGGCATAGGAGGCAGGGAAAGATACAGGATCCAAGCAGGGTCGACATCGACCAGGCTCCATTGCAGTCGAGAGTCCAAACCAATTGAGAAAACGGAGGAACCGAAAGTCGGGACGAACAAAGGGAGTGCCCAATGATGCTCGATATACCATCAAAAATCATCGCCATCATTGCCTTCACTTCCCATCGCTGCCGGTTCGGCGATCGGAACGTTATTCGAAGCTAGTAGCGGTAACTATTTCTACTCGTTCAAAAGAGTTCCAAAGATCTAGTAGACTCGAGGGACCTACTTCGAGAGGCTTTGATAAAAAGTTACGAGAACAGTCCGCCGATTATCGAACAGGTAAGTCCGTTTCTCGGACCGTACCTTTTCGCGCGATGACTTCCGTCCAGTTTCATTTGATGCCGGGGAGAGCATATTCAATCTGAAAAAGTCCAAAGCCTCCAAATTCGTTAATTTCCTGCTCGTGAAGTCATCCCGCGCATTCACCTCTCGTTAGGTGGGGCATTCACAACGATGTTTGCATCTAAGAGCTTGATCATGTGTTCCCTCAATGGCTGATGTCCCACCTACTTTGCCTGTACCATTATCATGAGTAAAGCGAGCGCAATCGCTTCCAGGAGCAATCATGCAGGACGACAACCCAGAGGAGATGGAAACAAATCAAGCGGAAGCGATCGATGATTCCGGTGACAGCGACCTCGAAAGTGATGGCGAAGATACCGACGCGCAACGAGAGACCTCAAATGCCAGACTGAAGGCTTTCGAACAATCGATTGCCGAAAATCCATACAATTACTCCGTGCACGAGGATTTCATCAAGTTCTTGGAGAAGGGCGATGATCTGGATAAATTGCGCGCTGCTCGCGAAGCCATGGCGAAACTTTTCCCGCTGACCCCACAGCTGTGGCTAACCTGGATCCGGCAGGAAATCGATCTTTGTCTTGACGAAGAGGAAAAACTCAAAGTACTCGAACTCTTCCAAAGAGCCGTGAAGGACTACACGTCGGTCGATGTGTGGTTGGAATACTGTCAGTTCGGCATCGGTCTATCCGGTGAAGGCAACTTCGAGAGGGCTCGAGCGATTTTCGAAGAAGCCTGCAATAAAGTTGGCCTTCACGTTCAGAAGGGGTCGCTCATCTTCGAAGCTTATCGAGAATTCGAGCTCGCCATCTACGCGACCATGCCGGACGGAGCCGCCCCGGACGACAAGCTCGCCAAGGATAAGGAGAAACAACGACGGAAAATCGTATCGCTCTTCAAGCGCCAGCTGTCTGTGCCTCTGTTCGACATGGAGAAAACTCTGGCCGAGCTGAAAGAGTTTGCCGCCCACGAGGCAGATAGCAATATCATTCTGATATATCAGAAAGCTCTTAAGAAGCTTGAATCGATCCATCCCTTCGAAATGAAGCTCAACAATCTTTCGAGTCCGGCCACGTTCGGCGACTACGAGGAGTATCTCGAGCTCGAGATCCGAGAAGGCGACGCTGCCAGGATCCAAATGCTATTCGAACGCGCTGTCACCGATGATTGCTTACGAGTCGAGCTGTGGGAAAAATACAATAAGTACATGGACCTCACGCTAAAGATTGATTCTTTGGCATTACCTGTTCACGAACGAAGCATCCGCAACGTTCCTTGGTCGTCCTCATTGTGGGTTTCGTATCTGACTTGCTTGGAAAGGATGTCCGCTCCGACCGAAAAGATCGAAGCGATCCTAAAGGACGCTCGTCAGGTGGCTATTTTGTCAGCGACCGATGCTCTGAACTTATGGATCTTCCATCTGTCAAACCTCCGGAGGAAGATTGACTTTAAGGAGCCCAGCAGTGAACTCGTCGAGCAGTTGAGAGAACTCTTCGAAAAGGCTGAAGTCGAGCTGACCGAGTTTACCGACGCCGATACCGAACAACATCTCGAATCTCTCTTCTACTACTGGGCAACGGTCGAAGCGAATCTTGGGAACACGCAACGATGGCGGGAGATCTGGCAAAAAATCACGCGCCAAGGAGCCTCGAGCCAGGTGAAGACTTGGTTGAGCTACGCGAATTTCGAGAAGACGTACGGTGATTTCAAGCATTACCGCAAGGTTCTCCAACGAGGTCTATACGCTTCGGCTGACTGGCCCGAACAGATCGGGGAGCAATGGGTCCAGGCTGAGCTTCAGGAAGGAACTCTCGACGGTCTGCAAGAAGCTCAATCCAAGTTCGAAGCCCGCATGCGTGTCGTCAATGAGAAGCGTGACAAAGCTGCGACTCGAGAGCTCCTTAATGCTCAGAGTACGCAGCCGCCGGAGCTCAGCTCCAAGAGAGAGCTCAAGCCTAAGAAGCGCAAAGCGTCCGAGAGCCCTGTCAAGAACGATTCCGAAGACAAGAAAGGCAAATGGAAGAACCTATCCGACGGGGACGGCTTCAAAATGCCGCTCCCAGTGGGTCCGAAATCTTCGGAGGGATCGGGAACTTCGCACAAACCTGCACCATCCGATGACGATCCACTCAGAGAAGCGCAAACCGTTTTTCTGAGCAACCTCGCCTACGAGGTTGAGGAGGAGAAAATTCGAGAGGTTTTCAAGGACGTCGGCCGTATCGAGGAACTGCGACTCGTCAGAGACTATAAGCACCGTTGCAAGGGATTCGGATATTTGGTTTTCGATGATCTCAACTCGGTTCAATCAGCACTGAAGAAAGATCGTGCGCCGATAGACGGCAGACCTGTTTTCGTATCGCGTTGTAACGAGCGTAAACAGTTCGAGTTCTCCCTGGGTTTGGAGAAAAATAAACTTTTTGTGAAGAATGTCCCCCTAGACGCTACGAAAGAGGAGTTGCAGGAACTCTTTGCGCGATGTGGGGCCTTATCGGATGTTCGGCTATGCGTTCTACGAAATGGCAAGTTCAAAGGTATGGCTTACATCGATTTCGTGGATGAGCCTTCAGCTTCGGCAGCTGTGGTCAAATTCGACGGTTTCGATATGCGGGGAAAAACATTGAGCGTGGCCATCAGCAATCCTCCTCCCCGTAAGGAGAAATCTCTGACTCAAGCACCGGAGCGTAAGAGTAAGGAACCGACCATGAAAACGAGACTTTTCGTCCCGAGGTCGCTCCTGACCAAAGCCGCGACCGACAAATCGCATTCCGTGACTGCGGAGACCAAGAATCTCGGAGCAGCTGCGACGAACGACGATTTCCGGAACTTGTTCCTCAACAAATGAAAGTCAGATTCATCCGTGTACTTTAATTGTTCGGTATCATCGACGAAAATGTTACGATTCCTAGGACATTGTACATAGGACTCCCCGAACCAGAGAGGAATCGAATAAAAATAGGTCGAGGGTCACATCACGGTCGCCTAAGATTTTTTTCTGCTGAAGTTCCGATCGATTCGATTTGGGAAGCGGACTTGGTTCCATCCGGAGAAAATCGACGTTAACGTATTAAGCCCTTGACGAGATGATTGTCTGTTCTTCAGTCTAGATCATGCGGGACACCTCAATATGTCGCTGGAAAATCCTGAACATCGGAGGAGTCCGGCTCGTGAGTGGATATTTTGTTGAATCTCCGTGGAGCTGCGGTCCACGGGTCAATAATATTTCAGTGATAGCTGTACCCGATTATGTGAAGCAAACGAGAACGGAGCCGAGTATGGGACGCTCGAGTATAGGAGAATGACATCTGGGAAAGGAGCAGACCAGTAGGTCTGCCGAAAGGCCAGGTGAATACTGCAGATTTATTTGTGCTAACGCCACCACGTCGCAAAAGGCTGTATGCACAGGTGGGGCGGATGACAATCCTTTCCGACCCGCGCTCTTGAACGGGAGAGATTCGTCGAGCTCAGTTCGTGAAACAGGACATCATCAGGAAGTCATCGAGACTTTCTCGACACGGAACCTCCACACTGCGGCTTATCCGTTCCAGCCACGGAGACTCGGAGGTTCGGACAACCCCCTTGTGAGGTTTTTGGAACGACGCCGACGTGAGCATCGTTTCAGACCTCTCATTCCCATCGGAAGGCGGGAACTCGATTCCGGCGTACGGGATCCGGTGCTGTCCTGCGTGAGCTGATGATCTTCGAGGGGACCGACAGTGTACGAGTATAACGTTGGACTCGCGTGCAAGGATAGCCGACTTGCTCCTGTCGCTCCTATCCTCCACGGGAGGCGCTGCTCTCCTTGCTCACAGCCTCCTCTCAGGCCTCATTGGGCGAGCGGTCGTCTTGCCGCCGTTACACCTGCGACTGCAGGGTCCGAGTGAGCTTCACTCGACTTCGCCGAACTCCGGAAAGGAACGATTCTGTTCGTCAATGGTGAACGAAAGCAAGCACGATGTGAGCATATGCGACACCCCGCCTCTTCGTATGTCAGAGGCTTCGTGGACGCGCCGTGCCCTCCGGGACATGCGCCGTCTACGAGAGCGTCTAGTACGAAGAGGCTCGGTCATCAAGTAAGTCATCACTTCATTCTGATTGAATATCCGTCGAGGTCTCTCTATTTTTACTCGATAATTCAGTCTTCCATCCATGTTCCCTGTTCGGTACGGTCAGGAAATACCGCTGGTCTGTGCAGGCGCTTCGGAAACACACGCGCGAAGTGCTGCTCTGACAGCGGTCGAAGAACGAACGCTTTGGTCCCTATTTCGGGCTCGATAGCTCTCTACTCTGGCAGATTGTAGGTTCGCCAATGATTCGAGTTGGAACGGATTTCCGAAGCCGGGGAACAAGGCTATCCGTAGATAGACTTCCGAACGCTCCGAAGCCGCCTCAAAAACTTGGGACGAGCTGTTCAACCCTTAAACTGATAAAAAGCTCCCTCCTCGATGGTCATTATCGAGTCCGAGAAGCCCAAACTCAGGGATCCCTCAATTCTGATCCCTGAAACGACAGGAGAAGGGGACAAGTAAACTGTCTCCCCTCGAGGAAATATCTTCAAGCATCCGGGAGAGACACAAAATCGCCTCCCCCCCCTGGTTATTCTTCTTTTCGAAAATTCTATCGGTGATTCTACTGAGCGATCGTGAGACTCATCGAATCGCAAGGAATAAAGAGCTCGAAGAGATCTCGTAGGTGGGAGCTATCTCGTGAGGGATACAGAAGAGCCAGCGCAACTGTGCGAACACCGGGTGATTTAGAGTTCTCTCCCGCAAGCCTGACCAGACAGATATTTCGCTCAGCGATGCCTTTCGAGCACCAGCGTGTGACTGACCAACGACTCGGGCCCTTCCTCAGGTGCAGACCGGTATGAACCAAATCGACCACTTTCAAATGAGCTGATGGTCGAGTTGTCATGAATATTCGAGGAGCTTCTTGATCGTGTAATGTTCGATGCGAGCTATGCTTGGAGCTTTCTCTGTGCACACACGTGCAGTTCCCGAGCGTATAGTACCAGGAGCGCCGTTCGAGCGCAGTGTGTATCTTGCACCTCGGAGATATGGTTCTCAGCTCTAGGGAATCGCCTCAGCGGCAGAGAATCGTCAAAGAAAGTTGTGGAGGAGAGATCTCTGACGTGGTCAGAGCTGTAGGTCAGCGCAGGTGCAGCAACTGCCTATATCTTGCGGTTCATCACAGAAACTCTGTCCGAAGAGGCGAATTCCCTCCGGCGGGAGTTTTCCAGGCAACATTGTCAACTCCGTCCTTGAAAAACTATTTTTTTGCGAGACTCCATAAAGAATCCGTTTCACAGAGTTGTTTCGCCTCGAGCCTGAAATAGCTCATTCCCCTCGAGGATGAGTGCGCCTCGTCTGATCTTGTAGGAGGCCTTTTGTCTCCTTCGTCGGACGGTTCTGCTATCCTTGATGAGCTCTCCGAAGGCTCGTCCAGCTGAGAGAGAGTCTCTCCGTGGACAATGATACGTACGTTGAACGGAATACATGAGCGAGTTTCCGTTTCCGAACACTCAGAGAGTTTCCGTTCCAGATGGATGAATCGTCCGCCACATCGGGACGAAACGTATATCCCCACGAGAATAGAACACGCGGCCAACATATTAACTCACTTGGTGAGCTCCGGAGTCTTTGTGGTCTGGGCGAGGAGCCCCAACTTGAATATTCTCGCGGATCGCAACTCAACTGCACCCCTCCCTCGATTCCAGCTCGTCATCGTTCCAAGCTTCAAAGGAACAGCTATCCTAGTTCAAGGGTCTGAGTCGACAGTTCAAAAACTTTGTGCTATCGTATATGGATGTGCACTCATCGCACTCTTCCTAGTATCGAGCATCTTCCATAGCATATGCGCAAGCGGAGGCAACGCGTGAGTTATTTTCAGTCGATCATAGAGCGATACGGAGTAGTCGCTGATATTCTGACTCGATGCAGCATCCTGGAGCCTATCCTAATTATCGGCCTACTCATTTTGCAGACATCTTAGACGCGTTTTCCATCGATTGGATCGTGTGACTATATATCTGTTCATAGCTGCTACATATACACCCTGGCTCGTTCTGAGAGACTTCCACACCCGATGGGATCGATATCAGATCTTCATGGTGTGGACATTCTGTTTCTGTGGTATCTTGTACCAGCGCAAGTTCCACGACAGACACAAAACGCTGAGCGTAATTATGTATTGCGCGATAGCCATCTTCCCGATAATGACGGTGCTAAACATGGTGAGCGTTTGGAATCGCCGGAAGATTTCTCGATCCCCTAGGCGAGACTGTGCGAGAATGGTTGCTCGGTACTACGATCGTTTCTCTCTCATTGCAGAAGCCACTCAGCGGGATCGACGAGTTAGCTGTCGGTGGAGGAATTTACCTATTCGGCGTGCTATTTTTCAAGATGGATGGTCGTGTACCCTTAGCTCACGCGATTTGGCACCTTTGCGTCGATGCGGCTGCCTACGTTCATTTCACGGCGATAGCAAATAACCTTTACGATGTTACCCCTAGTCAGAGATCGATTGATCACTTGTTGAAAAAATGAGTTGAGCCATCGACCCAATGCTTGGCTGCTTTTCCACGACCTTCAGACAAGCATGACAAACTCTAGATAGCCGATCAAGGATATCGGAGGTGCGGCACTCATCAGCTCTCACAGAGCACTTTGCGAGAGGATGCATTGCTCAGAGGACGCAGAATCAGACTTCGAAGCATTGGTTCCCTCTGATTCCTACGAAAGTGACCTTCCCAATAATAAGTCATTTCCAGCGATGACCGTCTTCGTCGTCCATATATCAAGGAATCGCTGCTACGCTTCAGCCTCTTAGTTCCAGGTTTTCGCGGTGCGACGCAGAATTGAATCCGGAGCCTGAAGTAGTCAATCGAATACGTATGATAATAATAATAATAATTGAAAGGAAATTATATTTTTAGACCCGAATGAGAATCTTCTATGAGGAAACATTGAGGTTTTAGCTCGAAATTGCCTTGTGTGTACATAATCTGTATTAATAGGTGTCCACCGATAGATCAACATTCCTCCCAAATATCAGCGCTCTCGAGAGCCACAACCGGGTGTGCCGTTCTCGAGAAGTTAGCTAGAACGCAAGTTGCTAATCATCCGCCAAAATGGGATTTCTACCTCGATTTGATCCACTAGGTAGTCAACAAATTGAGCATGTGATAAAGATGTTTGTTGAACAGCTAATGAGCAGCTTCATCGTTGAAATAAAATCACTTAGTTGCGGGAGAGAGATCCTGCGCTCAATGGGTCTGTATATCAGCGCTTGTTGGGTGAGTACGTGGTGGGGATTCCCGACTCAGCTGAGCTCGGGTTCAGGGGTCACGAATCAGACCGAGAGATTACCAGAAGTGGTGCCGAGAACAGACTCGGATCCTCCGTTTATTGAAAGGACAACGACGGCCGTTGCAGGCTTTCGACTCAAGCTCACCCGAGAGTGCGTTTAACTCGAGAGCATTTCTTCATGATCGCTAGGAACATTTGAACTTGTGGAGCAATCTCGCTCGTGCTGGGAGCATCTCGAATAGAATATGTAGTGTATCAACGGGGAAGTGCTTAAGCAGAGGCCACACGACGTACTCGAAGAGCCATGTGTCACTGATGTATTCGAATCGTGGCCTCGTTGAAGTGAGGGCATGGTCGAATTTCGCAATGGTCCGTGATAAATCCTTCAGTGTGAGAGACTGCGGATCGAGAGAACTCTTAGAGAATCAATTCGCGCAGGGGAGCCATGCTTCGGGCTCGGCTCTGCGACAGGCTTCAGGAGAGGCCACTCACCTTGATAGTCATGTGGATCTCTTCCCTTATTTTTTTCAGGTACCCTAGACCAATTTTATCCCTGAGACTTTCGGGAAGGGCGTGATATTTCCGATCGATTTCGTCGGCAGTCGCTTGTCTCACCATTGGAGTGCTACGAATAGAAGTATTCTTAAAGCTCCGAGACTGCTACAACGCGGGAGTGCTACAATGACTGTATCCGAGGTCTCGAGGAGTTTGCGCAGGTAATCGGCTCTAGGAATGAGACTTCTCCGAAAGATATCTCTCGGGACCTTACTCGTGGAAAGTGGGCATCACGCACGCGAAATGAATTTTGGTGCTAGGGCTCAGCTCTCTGGTGAGACCTTCGGTGAGACTTTTCACTGCTGCTTTGCCCATTGAATAAGGCACGCCGTTTTGGAAGCTGTGGATACCAGATAAGCTGCCACTAACGACGAAACGTCCTGGAACGAATGTGCGCCCTTGAGTCTCAATGGCCGGGCCAAATCGAGGAAGTGTTCTTCAGCCAACGTCTCACCTCGAGATTCTCGCAGAAGCGGCAAGAATGCCTTAGCGGTTCTTATGCATCCGTAAACATTTACATCGAACATTCTTTCTATCTCCCGGATCGTAGTCCATTCGAAAGGACCGCAGCAACCCAACCCGGCGTTGGCCACCACAGCCCACAGCACTGCAATGGAAAATAGAATCCCGACTGCAAATCGATAGTTTTTCTCGTGAATCTCTCTTGCCGTCGTGGAATCCAGGCTTCTGAGCCTTCTGTCCCTCAATATCGTGCGTGAATGCAACCGGATCCCCATTCTATCCCCGGCTCACGCTGGGCGAGCGAGGGCCCGCTCCGGAATCGCTGCAATGATAGGGGTCTCTTGCGCACATTCTGACGGAAGACATCACCTACCTTTATTCTCGCGCTTCAGCCTCTCGCCGATGAGCTCTGCGATGTTCGAGACTCGATCTTCTTTGGTGACGTCGAGTTCAACTACCGACACGTTCTGCATACTTCTCAGTAGTATCGCTCCACCATCGTCCGGTTTCAAGCATCCAGCGATGACGTCGAAGCTGGAAGGGCTCCAATTAGGCCGAATCACAGGCCCTAAAAATTCGCGTCGTGAGGTCCCCCCCCATTCTGACCGCATCACTTCCTTGGAAGGCATCATATCTATGAAGCAATTGTCCGAGAACTTATAGCCGATTGCGCCGAGAGCCCGCGAACCTCCCGGGCGGCGCTAAGATTTCCGCGACTCCGTCCACGGATCGATTCCTGAATCATTTCTCCTTGTAACTCAGGTGTGGAAGGTGGGTTTCCACATCGTAGAAAGAGGGCGTTCTGGACGGAACACTTCGGGTTTGAAGAATTCATGACGCGGCCGGCGAGAGAATTCCTTACATGAATTGAAGTTTCCTGGACGAGGACGCCCGAAGTCGGTGGAAGACTCTGGCGCGGCCGGAGGAGGAACGGGGCATTCGATTTTGAATAAATCATAAGCATGGATCGCGAGCTTTGTGATGAACGGAACTCACAGGCTCGTCAAAGCGGTCTACCTTCGCTTCATTTAATCTCAGACCGCTGATGTCTACTTTCAGAAAGGCTTCCGCAGAACGTGGGCAGACCCCTCTGCCAAATTTCTGTGACGGGGAAAAACCCGAATCCGCGAACTCGCATTGGAAGATTTGCTCTGAGCAGATAAAGATATACCATTTTCGTCGCCATCTAAACCTGACGGACTCACCCTTTATGTGCCATGTGCTTCACGAGCTCAAACCCGAATCCCGAATCACAACCAGAGATGAAGATTGCTTTCTTATACGGGTCCACACGTTTTTCTGACAGGAGGAGCTCGACGAGAGACCAGACAGAACTAGTGAGCATGAAAATCGCCGGTATGCTCCATAGCAAAGGCAAGTACGATGCGACTGCTTGCAGTGGACCGAACATGTAGAGGAGCAGGAACACCACGAAAATCGTATCCTTCACCCAAACGGGGCGAATCTTCCTCAGAGGGTTCATATTATCCGAGTTGATCCACACGATGCGCTCTGCTCACGCGAATCGGACTGCAAAGAGTAACCCAGTAGGTTTCCCCCGGTCTCATTCACTGATTCACAGCTGACTTGAAATCTTCTCAAAAGACACGTCAAAGGGGCTCTAAAAGACCGCCGGATAATGATTGTCACGGGGCTAGAAGTGATAGGGTATTGTTCCCTTCGCAGAAGGGAATCTTTCCGCCTGGATTGGCGAGCGCATAATCCTGAGTTCGCGCCGCTGAGACGATCTTATCGCAGCTCGCCGAAAGCTCTCCGACTGGAGCTTAGTTCCTGGACTCACACAGAGCTGCGCTCTGGCACGGCTACGAGCTCTGGTAGGCAGAATTCTCTAAAAAGCCAGGCAAGGATATCGACTCGAATGAATTCGGTCCTCACATGACTTGAATGCGATAGGGATACATGTGTCCATCCCCAAAAACCGCGGGTCATACCTCGAAAGCAACGGCACTCAACACGCGGAAGCCAGCTACCTGAAACACGGCAGCTGCTCGCTGGAAATTCGTGCGGCAGAATGATCGGGAATCCCCGCCATCAGAATGGAAACAGCTTGAGTTCCAATCTGCCGGCGCCACCTTTTCACTTGCACATTGGTCCTCTCGAACAGGATCCCAGTTTCCCGTCCATTTCACTCTGTATGCGAGAAATCCGGCCCCTACATCGTAGGTGATGGCTCTGCCATTTGGAGCTGTTGGCAACACTGCGAGGAGACAATATGACTGAAAAGTACTTATGAGCCCCGATAGAAACCTTCCAGGGCGGATATACCGTCTGAAGTTTAGGATGCATCAGGTTTGGCGTGACATCTGTCCTTGGTTTTTGAGATTTTCCTCGCGACTGGCTGAGCTCACGGTCAGGGGTATTACCGGTCACTAAGGCTGGGAATAATTCGCGGCGTTTTTCCCGGAAATTCACGCCAATTTTCACTCCCCATTAACTTCCTATGGAGGATCGCCTGAAAATACCTTGAAAACTCACGGCTTTTGGCGCGATCGCGCCAACTTCCCAGCCCTACCGGTCACCAATGCGAACTTTCGAAGTCATTTTCCCAAACGAATTTCCGCCTTGAGAGAATGAGGGCTTCCGAATTGATGCAATCGCGTGGAGAAGAAGGAAGAGTTCGAGGAAAAAATCTCGAGAATTTCCGGTCACCAACTCCCGCTCTAGTTGTCTTAATTAATGAGTAGAGAGATGAGGCCGGCTTGACCAATTGCTCATGAACACAAAGGCCTCTTCTTGAGTTCAGCAATTAGTAGATATCGCTCACGGCTTTCTGAATGCGTCTCGTCCGCGCTTGTCTCTGCTCCGATCGTCCGGAGTATTTCTCAATATTGCAGAATGTGTCTTCATCACAAAAAGAATGTTAGGGACTAGTTTGAGCGAGCAAGTGACTCGGTATAACTCACCGAGACTTCTTCCACTCCTCCGCTGAACTCTACCTTCAGGATGATTGCCGCGGCTTTGAGTCGATCACATCCTATGCGGATTGCGGCAAAATATGGATTCGCACTTCGGTCGAGGAAATCATTTCTGTTTTTCGTCCCATTGTATCCTGATTCGTCTCCCCATCGCGATAAGCAGGGCACGCTGCGCCGTCTCTGTCATCTTTCCTCCTTTCAACCTTTTCCTTCCTTTACAGCGACCACAGGACTGGTCATATCCATCCTCTCATATCCGTTCGCGGCGCTCATACATGACGCGGAGCAAGTTATCATTGACTTCGTAGGAGTTCCGGACGTCCCGCCCGAAATTAAACTCAAGCTCACAATTGCTACACAAAACTGGATTTCGGAGTCGAGTGACCCCTCCTTGGCTTGCTACAAGGTCATATCTCCGCCGCACATTCTGCGTCTCACTAGAGGAGAGAGCTCGTTGGAGACCGATCTGGGTTGGAGAATGACTGATGACGATGACACATCCGAAGTCCTCACTGGAGCCAAGCTTCAAATGCTAATCAGTCTGAAGCTTTTCCTCAGAGGGCGGAGCGGCCAAGCACAAGGCTCGCGGACCTCTGTGGTTCACATGCCGATTCCCATGGAAGTCCCTCCTTACCGGCCCTTTCCGACGAATCACTCGAGGTACCATTGTCAGTGAGCCTCCTTTCCTCGGCAGCATGATGCCTCAGCCCTCTGGGAGAGCATCTCCCGTTTGGACAAAATTTCGAGTCGAAAGCTGCGGGGAAATGAATGACGGAGCGAGGATGATCCTCGTGATCCAGGAAACGAGCTTGAGAAAAGAAAGAATCCGGAGTCCGAGTTACGAAGCAAATCATACCCGAAAATGACGGTGTTCGCCCTGTGGGGCAAAACCAGATGCGAAACCTGTAATCAAATTGATTTCATTTGACTGGACTATCATAACCAGTTCAGAGAAGAGTCAGACAAGCTTATCATCACAGGACTAGAGATGAGTTGAGCGGAGACAGTTTCGGAGATATTCCAGAGTATCATAAAGACTCTAGTACATGGAAAGCATAGATCCTCGTCATGGAGTCGGGAGATGGGGAACGGATCGAGAAGAGTCCTCTGGGGAGAAATTTTGTCTGTCTATGTCTTAGCAGAGAAAGCGGAGGAAATGATAATCTGCGGCTAAATTTCGGATCGATATGATGCGTGTTTCTGATAAGTGATAAGTACACCCAGAGCATTGGAAAATCGGTTTTCACAGAGGAAAGTCCCCTCGAAGCTCGGGCCTGCTCCCCCTATTCCCCCGAGGCACGGCGCTGTTTCACCTAGTACTGCGCGGAGACCCTATCCGGAAACAGCTTGAATCGATTGATCTCGTCCCGTAACCTCCACTGACATCGGTAGCAAACCCGTGAAATCAATACTCCCTGAGATGTTAATAGCGGAGAATAATTATTTCCCCATGGGAAGCGACGGGAGAAAAAATCCTGGAGTCGAGTGTTTTTTTCTGATAATTATCGTCAGCGAGTATTTGCGACACAATAATTTCTGTTTTTCGTCCCTTTGTCTCCTGACTCTTCTCCCCATCGCAATAAGCAGGGCACGCTGTGCCGTCTCTGTCATCGCGACTGCTGTGATATAATACGTTTCATCGCATCTATCCTTCTCGGGATTTCCAATGACGGGACAATGAAGAGAGATCATCTGGCAGTCGAGACAAAAATTAATGCAAGTCAGAATACGACAGGGGCTCGGGAAAAATTCGATGTCATCAGGGGACCTAGACCGAGTTCTCGATCGAGGGAGCAAAAACAAGCCCCGATGACAGGAGAGTTGCTGAGCTCGTTTCTAACTACTAAAATCGATTCTTCCTGACGAAAGTAATTCAATGCGATTATTTCTGAGAGGCAGATCCGATCTCATAGTGAGCCGAATATAATGATGATAGCAGTGAACAGGGAGCAAAACCGCTGTTTGTGTTTTCAAGGAAGAGCTGAGCCCGCTCCGATCCCAATTATTCCAGCTTCCTCGTCCACGATCGTCCTGTCAATGTACGAAGTGTCGCTGGTGGCATGGGTGAACACCGGTGAGTCCGCGCGAGATGTGAGCCATGGGCATAACCAACGGAACTGAATTTGGCTAGACGCATCAAGGAAAGTTTTGAGGAAATTCTCACCAGAATTTGGAGGCATGGGCCAACATATATGATAAGGCTCCCTTCATCTAATTCAGTTGCTCGCCGGTGCTCGCGGTGGAAGTTGCCATGGGTTTTTCACATCAAGATTACTCGTTAAGGATTATACCTTCGTTGTGCTCGCGCTTCTGTATACGTTCGGTCCGCTCCATTATGTGGCTTCCTTCATACCTACACTATGGAGCTTCCCCGCACTCTTTGTGCTCAGCAAGTTCGTGTGGAATGCAGTCGAAGATAGATTATCGAGGAAACGTGTGAAGTCGGATGGCAAAGCCATATTCATCACTGGCTGTGATTCTGGCTTCGGATTCGAACTCGCGAAGCGGATGGCAGGCAAAGGGTGAGCTCAGAGAAGAGAGACTAGTGAACTTCAAATCCGGCGGAATCTGTTCTAACTTCCCTTAAGCGGCAGCACGGCTCATCGGTTCATTCGCCTGACGCATGCTGTCTGAGGGTCTGCGCCGAGATGAATGCTTTAATGTGCTCAGATAGAGGAGATCGATTGAGGCGGGTTTCCCCGCCTTATGAAAATCGGATCGGAACGCAATGTGCACTCGCACGACAGCGGCGGTCATCGGTTTTATGATTCGATGGCGAAAAGTCTTTCCGGAGAGATTTTTCCGAGAGTTCAAACATCCGCGGGCCTGCAGAAGAGCACAGGTCCGGAGGATGCAGAATTTTCCCCTCGGTCATCGACTAAGGCTGAACATCCGATTGAAGCGTCGCGCTGATTCATCCCCGATCCAGCGACAGAATACCTTTCGAGTTAGATGTTTCTCATAAGCAGCACGGTGACTTACGTCCGGAACCGAAATAACTTCGCTCTGGGACTAACGTATTATGCTCGCCCAGCTTCGACATTTATGCCGGATGCCTGTTCCCCGATGGCGACGGGGCTAAAAGCCTGGCTAAGACACCGAATATTTTCGTCGAGGGCTTTGACGTCACGAAGGAGCACAGCATCTCGGACGCCGTGGTCAGAATAAGAGAACGTCTCGAGAGCGATAACAAATGTGAGTTTTGACAAACGATCTTTGTGAGCTGTGAAGCAAATCACGGAAAGTACATTTTTTCCCTCTTACGTCATCGCGAAACCCTCGTTCTGGATCGAGCAGCTGGAACTGATCATCCGGTAGCTGCAAATACAATGATCCGGTATTCCACATGGCCGGAAAGATTCCTATCGAGCAGGGTATCCCTCAGATCTGCTCTTTGACGCTGAAAATGAAGAGGGAGGGAGAGTATCGTTCGTATCAGAAATCGATATGGATCAGTGAAACCATGAACCCTGAACTTCCGTTGAGCGTGTCACAGCAGCGCAACTTGTTTCCCGAGCTGATCGATTTAGATTCTTGGACCAACAGACGAACGAAACTCAAATATATTTCCTCAGGTCTTTGGGGTGTTGTGGCCAACGCGGGCATACCGCTCCTCGGTCCTTTCGAATGGTGCTCAATGGAGGACATCCATAGGTTGTTCGACGTCAACGTCTTCGGAGTCATCAGGACTGCCAAGGCTTTCATTCCACTGCTGAGAGGATCGAACGGTAATGAGCTCGTGAGTGGGGGGAAGCTTCCATAAAACAGATCGGCAGCTGGTCACTGATTCCATCTTGGATTATCGATATCTTGTTTCGGATAGATTTACGAGTGCAGATTTGACAAGACTGTCCATCGAAACATCCACTCCGAGTTCGCGGGCTTCTCTCGAGCGGCGCTTGCTTTGTAGGTCGTTTCGTCATCACGGGGAGCGTTTCCGGAGTGACAAGCTACCCGCTCCTGATCCCGTATTCGATGAGCAAAGCGGCTGTCAGCAGCCTTTCCGAGGGTCTCAGACGGGAACTTGGACCTCAAGCGAAAGTGTACTTCACAACTATATTGCCAAGTTTCCACAAGTAAGCCGGGAGCTCTTCCGTATAAACATACGTCTGCTCTTATTGAAGAAGGAATGGAACTTATACCAAAATGAGAACCTTCATCCCCGCAGAACTCCCATGCTTGAGGAATGCTCTGTCAAAGAACTCGACAAGAGATATCTCGCTCTGCCCGAGGCGGAGAGGGAGAAAGTCAGTCCCAGGTATCTGGAGAAGTGCAAGCAAACGCACCGCACGGTTGTTTCGGTTCGTATCCCCTAACGGAAGAGAGACTGCGCGCAGCTAGACTGGATATCCGCGGTATCATCGTTTTGCTCATTCCATTTTTCCCTCCCATAGGTCCTGGCCATCTCGGACCTGACGGCAACTCTCAAGGCCTTCGATCACGCATTGACTTCAGTGAGGCCGCGGCCGTGGTATATCTGTGATCGACCCGTGATGCTGAATGTGCTGTGGCCCATAGTCCACCACTTCCCGGTAGAAACAACAGATTTCATGTTCCAAGAGTTCGGAAAAATCGGAAACTTCTTTAAATATATCTTCGGTGGAGGATCCGACTCTCGCAGAACGAAATCATAAGACTTCCCGGGTAGGATGAAATACCAAGTGATGTCCAAGAATCGGATGCGGTCTCTCGATATTGAATGGAAATCCTTGTATTCCCGAGGATTGCTCTGCTGCCATACTTCATTCAATAAACGTCTAAGAAGTCGCTACGGAACAAGATTGACTTCTTCCCATAAGTTGATGAATCTCCCAATACAGCAGCTCCACCCCGAAATCTCCATATCATTTGACGATTAAGTCGGACATGCATATGATGCTTGACATGCTATGACATGTGATTGGCTCTCGAACTCCGAATGGGAATCTACGGGAACTTGGTGATGCTGAAGCGGATCCACCTTCCACAGAGACCAGCTCTGACTAGGAATGACGGTCGGATCGCTGAGGAGAATCAGAAATGTTTCGCCACCTTGGTCCAACCTCATAAGCGATCACTCTCCGGGAGTTCGCAGAAAGCTCTGTCTCAGCCCGAGACCCAGAATTTCAGTCTAGGGAAGGTATCTCACAGAGGAAAGTGGAACACGATTGATAGTACGGATAATTATTCAGATGCGAGGAATCCAGCTTCAAAATTCTTAAGTGTTTCTCTAGACAGACTCTAACCCTTGGAAATCGCCCGCGCAATGAGCCCTCGGAGGGAATTCAGTCGCTACCGAGAAGCCGTGATGAAGTCCTTGTCGTGAAAAAGGATGGTTCAAAAGCGAGCGATATCTATTGATCGGAGCTACGCGAGTCTCGAACAGGTTATAGGACCAAAGTCGTTCTCAGCTGTGGCTGTATCCTCACTCTAAGGTCAGGTCTAAATCCGCGTCCTTGAGCGACGCCGCACCCGTACCTTCTGGCGTGATCCCCAGAGATTCACCTGATGACAGGCGGCTCGGTCGGTCAGTCCTGAAACTACATATATAAATCACCTGATCGACCATGAAAGGCGATCAGGAAAAGATGGTGGACCGCGATGGAGGTCACGCGAGTAATCGCACTTTTCGGTGAATGGGGCCCATTGAAGAGCTCGAGCGCTCCGATTCGGCTTCGAGAGCCCACGGAAAATAATCTCCTCAGATTTTGATGGCGCTCGGTGATTCTTCCACAGATAAAAAAAATGTATCGTCTCCATCCGAATGTCGTTCCGTGCCTCTTGTGCGTCAATTCGAGCTCCGTGAAATCCGAGGTTGCCGGAAAGGTGCCAGACGGCTCCGGTGCGAGCCCCGCTTCGATCGCCTGTCAAACTCCTAGACGGATTCGCGGGGTTTTCTCCGATCCATCGAAGGACGCTCGGTGACCTCCCGTGAAAATGTCGAAAGCCCCCATGCTACGTGGGAAGCCGGATGAATGTTCACAGAATCACGTCACTACGCTCCGTCTGACGGAAGGAAACATGTAAAAGGAGAAGACATGACCTAAGACTCAATCAGTCGGCTCCGAAATAGAACCCGTGTTGTACCGGCGGAGCCCTTGCGCAATGCGGTTTCCAAATGTCAAGGTTCAGTCGCCGGCATTACCCTCCGCTTCGACTCGAAAGCTCTTCCCTCCTCCCTCAGAGTTGAACGTCGCTCGGCAGGCAGACAGACGGCTGACGAGCGAGGGAGCTACTCTGCCTGCCACCGAGGGAGAGGCGCTAGTTGTCTGGGTAACATGGTGGCCATTGTTTTGTTCTCGGAGCGAGTTTCGAGCTTTCGAATCGGGACGCTTCCATGAGTCCCGAGCCGAGCAAGATTTAGGGAACATCAAGGCTCTCGAAGCCGGGCGATGTTCGCTCTGACACCACGGAAAACTGGCTGATTCGTGAGTCGCCGAAGCGGGACGCGAGTCCCACTCCGATCAGGTAAGAGCTGCGCAGACAGCGAGTTTACGCAGAGAGGAGAAATTTTCTTGCGATCTCGGATGGCAAGGCAGGACAGTCGTTCCGACGGTCTGGATTCTCCGGAGAATTTTCCAAGCAGTTTCCATGATATCTGCTAGACGCAAGAGCCTCGATAAAATCAGAAGCCTTGTTCATATAATTCCACCGAGGGTTCACTGCGTCTCCCGCTTACGTAGAATCTACGTCATCTGGCCGCTGCTCGGAGCGAGCGCGTGAGCCGCGGGGGAAGCGGATCCTGCTCATTGCGTCACTCGTCGGCCAGGTCCCGGGAAGCTGACGGGAAAGCTCTACCATGCGCTCTTTTCCTTCAGGTGAAGCTGGGCAGGTTTCGACCATGACTTCACATGACGAGTCCATGGGGGATTCGAGCTCGGATCCCCTGAGTCAGGACGATGACGACAGGAGCGCTGACGAGGATTCGGACGAATCGTCGTCGATTTCGTCGGACGACTCGATCGAATCCGACTTGGAGTCCGAATCGTTCACGGACGTCACACCGCTGCATTCGATTTCGAACTCTCCGCTGCCTTCGCAGGTCAGTCCAGACCGTAGGAGATACCGTGTCACTCTTATAAGGACGAACGAAAATACGTCACAAACTGCGCAACGTATTGTCGATCCCTCTGTCTGGTCCCGGTGACTGAGCTCTTCCCCGGAAGGCCTCGGCGTGACCCAGTGATAGCAGTTTATGGAGCTCTGAACAAACTTCGTTGACCTAAATCGCTGCTGAGCCGGTTTCGCTTCGAGTCGACACCACAGAGTCTCGTCTGCGTAACACTTTGACGACTTCCGGCTCAGCATCTGATGGAATTGGTGTCACCCAGCTCTCCTCCCCAGATACCATGTCTAATATGTAGAGTGAGATCGAACCTAGCCAATAGAACTTTACCCGAAATACATCCCCGAGGCTCTGTCGAACACAGAATACATGCTGGAAATTTCTCCATGCAGCCTATCGGACCGTCCCCCAAACTTAGGGATTCTGTTGGAGGAACAGACGAAGAGAATTCGGAACACGATTCGTCTGAGGATGACGACGAGCCCAATGGGCAAATCTTCGGGAAAACCGCCAGGCGACCCACGGTGAAGCGGGCGCCCTCCAGACAAACAACTCAGAATCAAGCCGACTCAGATGTTTCTAGTCTGAGCGAAGCCATCCAGAAACTCGACATGCAGCAGGGCGTCAGGTAGGAGAGACCGTCCCTAGATAGCGGGGAGCCGCTACAGCGGAATCATTCATCCACCGTGGATTTGATAGATAATTAATTGATCATGCTCAACTCCGGAAGTGGGTTCTAAAAAGTAGAATCCACCCTAGATGTCGTCGCATCCGTGATCAAGAGAAGCGCCTAGAGGCCGAGAACGAGCATCTCCTCAAGCGCATCATCGCACAGAAATCGCGTGTGACCGAGTACGTGGTCGCGAATCCTCCGCGCTCGCTCGTTGCGTCATCGTCGATCAATCGCAAGCGACAACAGAAATACATTCATGCTCAAAATTTGGTGAGTCCACACAAGTGCAATGGCTGCGGAAGTTTTTGCCCAATCGCCCCGTACGATAGACCGTGGATGTACGGATCGAAGGCGCGAATTCGGCAGGTTGAGAAACTACTAGTTTTCGAGGAATCACTGGCCGCTTGCATGCTCTCAGGAAATGGCTAGGATTAGTTACTAGGTAATATGGATTCATGCGCTACTTGTCTCCACGGAAATCTCGGTAATATCGCTCCCATTGTTCCAGGCGCTTCACAAACGCATCGAAGCGGCTCGTAATGGATCTCCAGTGAGCGTCGGGAGCGTGTTCACTTCGCCGACCAATGCTACGACAACTAGCGCTGGTTCTCCCCATAAACCAGTTCGAAACAGTCCTTCCGGCCCTCCGATCCCTCGGAAAAGACACGACACGAGATAAGCCACTTCAAGCGGCTCTATGGCTACCCTGAGGGAGAGGGCTGATGCGCTCCCAGTCCGGAGATACGAACCGGATGCGGCGGAACACACGTCAGCTTAATTTGCTTCCAAGCTTGTGCGGCTACCTGGAAGTAAATTGAGCGTGAGACGAAACGATGTTCGAGTGATTCTCCCTCATTGTGAAATTCGCGGGGATCTTTCAAGTCCGACAGAGTCCATGCGGCCATAATTACCCAAGCTCTAGGTAGAGATATTCAAAACGTCAGTGTTTTAGATTGGCAGTTCGTGAGTATAGCGCCAATGTGATTTTAAGCGGGCGCAGGTAGACTTCGGATGTTCATATGGAAAGGGGGAAGACAGGACAAAGGTCTATGTTGCCTCCCGGAGGGTCCTTCATGCCTTGAAAATTCAGTGACCCTTTCTCTCGATGTCAGGAGTACCTTCAGTGAGGATATCGAGAGCGTAGCGAAAATGATATCTTCCTTCATTCCGCTTTCTGAGTTCAAGGCCAGAAAGTGAATTAGAGTTTCTCCTGTTTGTTTCGGAACCGCGTTCCGAAGCGGCAGGGCTATCGTTAACTCCCAAAGGAACTCCGTTCCGATAGAGCTACTGGCAGGTTTTTTTTCGTCGCTTCTTGAGGGCTCAGCTGCTTGAGGGATAACTCTCCGAGCACATGGCTGAAGTTTCCTTCCGTAGTAGCTCCAGGAGGGGTAAGGGAAGATTATTCTCTGATCTGATAACGTATGAGTCGTTGAGCTACGAAAAGTCATCGGCTCCGGGGATCTTGTGATTGATGTGGGGATCAGCCTAGTTGGGGATTTCCGCGAGCCGGAACCCATGGAAAATCGTACGAGAAAAACCGAAAAATATAACCAATTTCCGAGACCTTTCGACCAAACATCGAGTGAGTGTTCGCATCGACGCCCTCATTCGCGAACTCTCCCGTCTAGGATCGTATGTTAACGCGATGGCGCCCGACTGATCATCACGAACTTGATCGAAGAGTACAACTTTGGAAAGTCATCTCCTCATTTGTTATTAAAATTTTATGGAGGAAATAATATTGAGATATATGGAAACAGGATGTTTGACACTCATTACCATGAAACCTGTGACAATAATACTGCTGGAGTCTAGACTGAATAAATTATACAAACTTATACTTACATCGTCCTACATAGGACTCCTCTCATGCTCTTCTGCCACACACACAGCTCGCTTGATGATATCCCTCTTGGTGCTGGACACACGCGAAACGGGCAGCCCTTCGGGAATCGACGTCTACATTCCCGATGGGAGGGCTTCCAGCTCGCGCAGCGGGTCCTGTTCCAGGGAACCTATCTTGAGGAGAGAACAGGATCCTGCTGTATCGAGGTGAACCTCGAGTTTTTCGGAGCATTTGACACTCTCTCTGAGAAACTCCGATTAGTGATTTAGAGACTTTTGATGAACGAGGACATTCACAGATTCGAGGATCATTGAAGTTCCGATCAATCTCGATTGTTCTCCATCATCCCGAATCCCTCCTCTAGGTGAGCTAATTGCCTGGCTCCCGCGTCTCGAATACGACAGGCTAGATATCGATACCAGAGACGGACCATGAGGTTGAATAGAGCGCCGGCGGCGTTTTAAGGAAAGTCTTCTGTGATGCGAATAAATTGATGTCAAGGGGAGATGAACGAAGCATCGCACACGCTATCCTTTCCGACGAGCTCATGGGTTGATCGCTCCCTCGCTGGAAATTCGCTTCGCGTCCGGTATGAGGTTGCTTCTCGCGGAATTATACGAACCCAGAGAGTGAACCTAATTCAAGCCGTCTGGGAACCGGCCTTGGTAGTGGAATAAGCTGATCTTGCTCCGGTCTGAAAAGGATTCTCCACATACAGGAAAGCCCTCTCAGTCAGAATTGGAGGGCAATAATTACAGGTCACATTCTCTAAGAGATTCGCACAAAAATTTATTGATTATTTTCCGTCATCGATTACAACCAAAGATGAGCAGACTGCTCAACTTTATAAACCACAATTTCGTGAGGATAAAACATTCGAGTGATATACACAATTCTTCGAGAACCTGGACGCTATTCAAAAATATATATTTATGATGAGCCTCCGAACCTCCGCGAGTTCTAACGAGAGGGGTCCTCTATTGCAAGCTGCAAGTAATGGGACCAAGCGATGGAAGGTCCGGGCTCGATGGGAAAAGTGCCATGTATCTATGAGACGAAGGCGCCCGCAAGGAAAGTGCGAGCAACCCAGGGAATAGCCTATGATCCGTTGTCTACCGCACCGGAAGAGGAATCTCTATTCTTAGCGCCGCAGGAAGAGGATCTCCCGGGGCTGAGATCGCTGGAGGAGAAGTCTCGATCGTTGGACACTGCAGGAGTGAAGCTGCAGCGACTGGGTCGGCCGCGAGAGGAGCTTGAATGCGTTGACTCGCCGGAGGAGCATTCTCAGTCGTCGGGCTCAGTGAGAGGGAAACTTCGGCAGCAATTGGGTTCGCCGACGGAGGATCCTCATTCGTTGGGTCCGCCGAAAGAGGAGCTTCGGCGACAGTCGGGCTCGGCGAAAGAGAAACTTCGGCAACAGTCGGGTCCGTCGGAAGAGGATTTTCAGCAACGATGGGGATCGCCGGGGGAGGATTCTCAGTCTTCGGGATCACTCGAAAAGGAACTTCGGCAAGAGTCGGGCTCGCCGGAAGAGAAACTTCGGTAACGATTGGGCTCACCGGCGAAGGATCCCCATTTTCTGGGTCTGCCGGACGAGCGACTTCGGCAACCATCGGGCTCGCCGGACGGAGAACTTCGGCTGCGATTTTGCTCGCCGGCGGGGAATCCTCACTTGTTAGGTCTGCCGGAAGAGCGACTTCGGCAACAGTCGGGTCCGCCGGAAGGGGAACTTC